GGAGGGTAATGTCTCAGTGAACTCTGTATTCCTGGGAGTAAACATCAAACTTGACAAATATTTGGTGGATGGATGAATGGATACGTGCATAATAAATTTCGATCAGTCAGTTGCATTTCTGTCACTGTTTTTCCTTTTTATGATACTCAAAGTTTAAGTCACTAATCAGTTGCTGACCTTTTAATATTGAAGACAGCTGTGGATAGTCAGGTTGTTAAGTTAAACCAGTGGTAGTCACTATACAAATGTTATTTCAAACACAGCTTCAAGGCTTTCTTTTGTCTTATTTCTATGATCCTCCGTTATGCTGCCCATGTGTCCTGAGACCTCACTAGCCTGTGAGTTGTGAAGCACACTGTTTGATTAACATCCAACTGAAGGTAACCGATAGCTTCATCATTTGGAATATGGTGCATCTCCAGATGTCTATGGGAATTCATGGCACTTAGTGGTTCTCTATGGGGTTTGACACCTCCACTGGGGGAGCTCTTCTTCAGGCTACCTCATGTCCTCTCGTAAGACTCCTCTAACATGACCTCCTCTCGACCTTCATCGCGGTACATTCTATGACATCATGAGCCCAGCATACTCTCTTCACCACTTAAAGCACAGCTAAATATTCAAAGGGAAAAAGCAGTGCATATATTTCTTCTTGAGACAGTCTCACTCGGTAGCTCAATCTGAACTCGAACTCGAAGCAATCCTCCATTTCAACCTCCAGAGTGCTAGGATTCCGGGATGCACCATCACAACCAGCTCAACCAGTGCATATTCTGAGACCCCAAACTCATAATGAGGGTCTCCCAACCTCTAGCAGGCTTTCACATAGCAGTGATCACCTTAATGCCCCCACTAAATATCTCTAAGCATTGCCACATCTCCAAGTACATGTAGTAGAAAAGGTCTTTTTGGCTCAATAAAAGCCTGGCTGTTTTCCTAACTTAGGGTGATTGACAAGGAGAAAGGAAAGATTTCCTCCAGGGAAGCCTTGTGCCTGCCTCCTACCATCTCAGGGCGGTCTGACCTTCATAGCCCCAACAAGCAAACACGGGGTTGCATTGTGTTATTAGATCTGATGACAGCATGCATGGAGCATCACTATCTCTGTGAAAAATTTACATTGAGGAAAAATATTCCACTCATTCTTACTAACAAGATGCCATTTAATTTTTCTTAACAGAGTACCATGTTGGTGTGCAATATCTGTGTACAGCTTTATGATGACTTCATGGTCTCCAAAATAAAGAGTAAATATTTTTAGAAGTCAATAAATTCATTTGCAACAAAAAAAGAATATTATAAATTTCATTCAGTCTTTGCTCCAGCTACAAAAACTCAGCTGTCAGCAGTCTTCAAGGAGCAGTTCTGCTGAAGGGGAAAGAAGGAAAGAAAGAAATTCTGCATTTATAAAATACATGTTATTTTTAAAAAGTCTAACTTAAACCTTTTCTACAGTTTAAACCTAGATCCTCTGAGTACAAGATCCCCTTCCTCCTCATAAAAAAAATGCTATTAAAAAATGTGTCCTTTGACGCCTTCCCTGAAAGCAAACAGATTGAAAAAATCATTCAAAAACAGCATTTTTCCATCTCTGTCCATGAAAGTCAAGTGAATCATATATTAAGGGTGTCCTATGTTGTGACTTTCTCCAGCCGCCTTAGTGTGATTAAGGGCCAGGACTCTCCGTAAAATCTCTATTCTGTTCTTACAAAAAACAATGAATAGAAATTTCCATAAAAGAGGAAATTGACAGTCAACACAGAAGACTCAGGAGGAAAGGAGTGTCTCAGGGGTTCGCTCACTGCATTCAAACACAGCTCTCTGCCTCAGGGCTCTGGTTTTCAGGTCCAGATCTCTGGTGGCTGGATGTTGCCTGAGGCCTTGGTGCCAGATATGATATCTAGGTTTGACATCTATGGCAGACTGCAAGCTCTCCCACCTGTGATTTTAAAAAGCCCAAAATCCTTCCCATGTTTTCAACCTTGGCCCTGACATTCACCTTGGCCCAGGTGAGAAAGTGTCTGAAATTGCTTGCATTGAAATTATAATCTTTGCTTACCACTCCAAAGCTAAGCAGTCTTGGTTATTAACTGATGGATTCAACTTTTTGTGCAGCTGTGACACAGCTGGAAGTCTTAGTCAGTCCTCCTAATCTGCACACATTGGGATGCTCCCTAAGGAAATGGCCTATTATGCTACCTAGAACACCATGGGCTCCAGTAAGGGCTGTGAACACAAAATATCACTAGGAGTAGAATCCAGGTCCTTTGGTTCTTTCATCAAATAATTATCCAACCAGAAAATCTCTTTTGAGTTCTCCTCAGAGTGCAGCAGTTTTTCCACAAGGCCAAGTGGAGACTGATGTAGCAGCTGTGACTTGGACAGAGCCCCCTGGGAGCCCCCTGAAAATCAATTCTCTAGAAAATCCACATTGTAGTGATGGACCTCTCTAGCAGTGAGAAAATAGGAGGGCGTGTATTTTCCAAAGGAAGACACATACAGACCTTCAAATCACTGTCTCAAGTCAGGCCATGATAAATGATGGTCAGAATACAATGCGCAGTTGCTCAAAGGAAAGAAATTAGCTTGGCTCAGGAGCACTAGGAAATGCTCCCTGGTCGAAGTTCTAGTCCAAGAGACTTAAAGGATGAATGATTTTGATGAATGGAGGGAATGGAGAAGAACCCAGCAGGCTGAGGGAGGGCAGCTTAAGCAAGGGAGTGCAGAGGCTCACTAAGAGGACAGCAGTCACTCTGTACTAGCGGGGCCAGGGCGTGACTGGGATGGTGGCTGTGTGCGCACTGGGATCAGCCTTGTGAGCCAGGCTAATGCACGTGGATTCTGTAATATGGAGCATGGGCAGATGTCAGTGTACAAAACAAGGAATACACTTAATTTATTTCAGAAAGATAACTATGGACAGGAAGATTAATCTGTGACTGAAAGCAGTAAGACCAGACACAAAGTTAATACAAAAACTGATGAACACTGAGAAGGAGCAGAAAGAAGGACCCAGAAAGAGGAAATAGATTCAAGAGATGAGTCAAAAGTAAATGAATGATATGTGCAATGACAGGGAAGAGAAGGATGACCATTTTTGGCATCCTGGTTGTGTGCTAGAAGGTTCTGTAGGACCAATACCCCCAGGCCTTGCCATGAGAAATTAATCCTTTGATTTTTCCAGGAATATTTTTATATTTCTCTGGCCCAAAGAATTTTCTCCAACAGCTGAATTCTAGGCTCCATTGGAGAAGATGTGGGAGCAGGGTCTTCTTGGAACCCTCAAAAACCATTGCATATTTAACTGCCTGTTCCTCTTATTTACAAAGTCAGTTGTGTAAGTAAACACCTGACTGCTGTGTCTGTAACTATTTGATAACTGAATATGAAATCTAAGCTGATCATCTGTAGTTTTTTCCTTCTATGAATTCCCTTTTGTTCCATTCTTCACCTGGACAAGAAAACAAATATCCAGAGAAAATCTTCCATAAATCCTTGACCTCCCCGTTTGGTAACAGCCCCATCCCATTTTATTGCACCATTCCCCTGGCACCAGGAAGAGCTTCCCCTGGAGCTGTGGGTGGCCTGTCTGAGTCTGGCAGGCAGCACACATACACCATTCCAGACAGCGCCACTGTCCCAGATATCACCAGCACAGTCATGGCCAAGCCTGTGGAGGACCCCTGGCCACCAGTATTACACCACTCACACTGGCGGGGGCCCACTCACAGCCGTACATCAGCCTCCCACCTCTACCTGTGCTTACGTTTGTGTGATCACAGTTGCCCCTAACTCTGCTTTGTCATCCAGAGAACAAACATCCTGGGCTAGGAATCTTCTCATTTCTTTCCCCACCATGCTATTATTCCTTTAAAACTGTTCATGAAAGCCTGGTGCGGAAAGACAAGCAGTCCTGGAAGAGAAAGAGGGAAAGACATGAGGCAGGAGAGAGCAGCAGAGGTGAGAGTAAAGACATTGAGAAAAACAGTGGAAGTGAACTCTCCAAGTAAGTTTGACCTTACACATGCTTTATTTTCTGTCTGTGTTAGTTATCCTAAATTTAAATTTCCTGGCTCTGCAGTCTTCGTACACATGAAAGGAAGCCTCGTCCTCTCTGTGGGAATGATCACAGTCAAGCTGATTCTACTCCAAAAATAGAATGATAACAGTGCTAAGTCAGGAGCTCCAGAATTTTAACTGTCAACAAATAGAATGGTTTCTTGGTGGGAGGGTGGCCATAAAGGAAGATAGGCAGAAAAGCACTCTCTGACTCCCGGATGAGTTGACAGGGAAAATTTCAGGCTGGGATACTCCACAGAGAGCTTACAACCAGCTGTGTAGATTTTAAAAAGACCTTTCTGGACAGGGACAGACTCTGGAAAGCCCCGGCCCTCACCCCAGCACTAGCCGAAAAGCTGTACCTTTTTCTCTTGCCTCCAGTTAAACATCACTACCAGACTTTAAATTCCATGAACAGAAGAAACTTTGGCTGCTTTTTGCTTCTACTGTATGCTCAGCACTTGGGTGAAAACTTGTATACAGTTGGTTCTCAATAAGTATTTCCCAAACGCAAGGCTGATTGATTAATTCAAAATGAACAAGTTACTTCCCCCTGTCTGGCTTCTGATGAGTAAATTCCGGAACCAGAAACTGCCAGTGCATTCAGAAAAATAATTGTTCCTGCTTTTACTCAGGCTTCTGTGCACCTTAGATACCTGACATTCAGGAACAAGGACCCAAGAGATCATGACTCCCCGAGTGTCTTCCAACAAAAGACCATCTCCCTCTTTGTCTCCTTTCAGAGAATGAGCCGCCTGGGACTGATAAGAGAATGGCACCATATGCTGCAAACGCAGGCCCCGAGTGACGGAGGGACACCCAAGCCTCCTCTAGTGGGGCCTGTTGGATTGGCCGCCTCTGAACACATCTGAGTGTGTCTTCAGATAGCGCAGGCACCAGCCACCCCCAAGGACCTTTCCTTTATTACTGTAGCAGGGAAGCAGCCACATGGCTGTGGTAGATAAGGTGACCATGCACACCGTGCATGCAAAACAGGTTGTGTGCCACACAGCGCTGAGAACCGCAGACTCAAGGCCGCACTGGCTGCCCTTCCTCTGTGAATGGCCCCAGGTGAGTGAGTCTGATTTCCCATCACCTCTCAGTGCTCATTTCCTCTCTCTCTCTCTCTCTCTCTCTCTCTCTCTCTCTCTCTCTCTCTCTCTCACTGCCTATATATATATATATGTATATATATATATATACATATACATATATATTATATTTCCCTCCCGCCCCCCATTCCCAGATGGTTCCTATGGGACTAAAATCATAGTCTTCCTGTGTGGCTGCCAGGACTGGAATGGAGGTGAAGTTCCAGTGCCAACCGGGTGGCAATTCTGGCTATATTGGGGAACTTGCAAAAAGCTAATCAAAGGCTCACCTGCACATACATAGGCACCATGAAAGCAGAGCATTACCATGTTTCTGTGGGAATTCGTCCTCCAGTACCATAACCATTAAGCACATGCAACCGGTACAGTCGCTTACTACTGCCTGATGCAGGTACCACGATGAACAAAAAATGTAAGACTCCAGTGACACAACACAGGAAATTCTACCTTCCAACAAGATGCAGGGCACTCCGTGTCATCTTGAACTTGCCTGGCTTATTCATCAATTCGTTCATTAAAACTAAGAGGCTCTTATAACTGGAAAATTGATACACTGAGTACTGTGGGACTACACAGATATAAAATAAGCACTTCTCAAATAATAAGATTATTCATCAGGTAGCACTTTTATCTTATTAAACTATGAGACATGAGAACCAAATTCCACTGAATTACAAGAATCTGAAAATCAAAGCACAGTCCCTTATAGTCAAAGTGACAAGTGAATTAGACACGAATACAAGGCCAGAAATTAACACCTTAATTACAAATCTTTGACAGCTTATCAACATTTCTAAAAGCCTGAAAAAATTAAATGTCTGGGTAGCATATATAGTAAAATAAATGCATGATTAAAGATAAATGATGGATGAATGGATGGAATAGGAAACAACTAAAGTGATTAAGCTCATATTCAGGCTTAGAAGCCACACTTCTTGAAATCTGAATCCCATGTCTTCAGCTTATTTACTTACTAACTATATGAGCTTGGAGAATTCCTTATACCTTGCTTTCCTCATTTACAAAATACTGATAACCATAACCTTCCTTAAAGGATTGCTGTGAGAATTAAGTGAACTACCAGATGTCAAATGCTGTATTTAGAGCAAGACTTGCACAGAGGAAGCCCTGGTAAGTATTAACTGCTTGTGTTGTTGATGGTCTTTTCATGATGATGATTACTGTATTTCCCTAGAGTCAAACCGAATTCAGCCTTTAGGAAGTTGTCAAGAAGCAAGTCAATCTCTTGAACAATTAAGCATTATCTTCTACATTAGTCTCCCTTCTGGTAGAAACTAAATGTCAATGGAAATTCAAAGAAATACAAGCCAGAAGATCTTCAGGACCTTTATCACTGGATGCTGACAAATGATTAAGGGCTTTTTACATGAGAAAGAACAAATAAGAAAGACCCTCACTAGTCAAGAGTTGGTGAGATACTATAATAAAACAGTAGCACCATTCATTAAGTAAGTAGAGCAGTAGAATAATTTATAAGTATAGATCCAGAGATAAGATTAAAGCTATATATAAACATAATTATAAGTAGGCCGCATGTGGTGGTACACACCTGTAATCCCAGCACTCAGCACTTGGGAGGCTGAAGCAAGAGGATTATTACAAGTTCGAGACCAGACTGGGCTACAAAGTGAGCTCAAGGCCAGCCTGAACTGCACAGCAAGACCCTGTCTCAAAAAGACAAATAATAATAGCTATTACTATTTTAAGTAATAAATGTAGCTCTATCAACCTGGCAGGCATATACCTGACCTAGTGTCAAGTCCCCATCTCATTGTGGAAAGACAATAAATGAAGTTAAACCTGATGTTAAGGCAAACGAAGTGTCAGATAAGGTTCTGCTGTCCACAAAAGGAAAAAGGCTCTACGTAGATGCTTCCACGCTGGCGTTTGCTTATGGGAGAAAGCACCCGTGGTTTCTTGGTGTGAATTGAGGGCTGCTCCTCTATTTTCTTTTCTGAGGATAATGCATCTCCTGCTGCTTCAGCCTCCCCGCTTGTGCTGCAGTGGAAACCTGAATCCCCTGCCACCTGGCCGGCTTTTTCACTTGCAGCCAACATACAAGCTTCTCCGTGCTGGTGCACCCCAGGAATAGCTCAGGAGAACACAAAGCAAGAGACTTTTATTGGGACAAGGATTTGGGAAAGGATCTTCTGTAAGACTGGCACTTGGTCAGATTTCAAAGTCTTGGGTTTGATGGGACAGGCACAGACTCAGTGAGTGTTAATAAATGACTTTATTCCTCCTGGGCTTGCTCTTCCCTAGGACAGTTGGGGTCACTGGGAACATATCCCAGAATTTCTGAATGTCGAAGAGGACATAGGTTTCCTTAAGGACACCTACAACTCTGGGATATTCTCTGCCAGCAAAGAAATAATCCATATTCCTCCCCAGAGCCAAAGTTCAAAAGTTACACACAATAGAGAAATGTGCCATTGTCACTCAAGTCTCTAATTCTGTCATTTATTATGGCATGCTAAAGAATACTCAGGGAGAACATCATCTTTCTTCTTTTTTCAAAGCTGGCTGTTACCAAAGGTAAAGAAAAGTGTGAGAGAGGAAGGAACAAAATCTTAGAGCACTATACATTGACTGGCAAGTACCGCCCAAGGTCTGGTTTCCTAGCAGTGGTCTGTAGGAGTCAAAATGAAATGTGCAGTCAAGCTTGAGAAATATTTCAGAGTCTGTTCCCACCACCTGGTCACCTAACTGGAACCTCCAATCTCCAGGCCTTGAAGGCCAATCACTAAAAGAAAGGGTTACCAGGAAAGTTAAACTAGTCACGTGCTTATGCATACATAAATCTAAGTTTTAGAAGTGGCTTGATTCATTTCTATATGCAACAATGAAGGCTGAGTGTCATCTCTGTACCAGTGTGTACACCAAGAGTAAAGGTCAAGGCAAGTTATGCAAGCTTTCTCTTATCCAGAGTTTACACTATTACAGGGCTGATGGTCTAACTGAGGAGTCAAATCAGACATGAGAGAACAAGGCACATGCTTGGTTGGAATAATTATGAGAGTGTTCAGGAGGAAATTGCAGATTGGAATTAGATCACGATGAGCTGGGTAATGAGAGCCAGGAAAATATCCTAAAAGAATCCAAAATTGAGCTGCAGCTAAATATGGAAAAGTTTATTTATTTACATCCCAAGATCCCAAACCGGTAACAGAAGTAGAATTACAACTCAAGAGTCCCAACTTGCTTCTATGTTGTGCTGCTCGGCAGCTGTTTCGCTCCGTACCACACAGCTGGGTAAGTGAGTTGCAGATGGAAAATTGGTTGCCAAAATCTTTTTTAGAAACAAATGACACTGTGATTTTCTTTGACATCCATTGAAATTCCTCACCAATTTGCAAAAATACCTCATGTTTGCTTTAAAACAACCAATGAGGCCTAGACATTTCAGTAAAACATAGTAATCCTAGCCATCTGAGCATTCTGAGCCCTCATAAGAGGGGCTGGGAGGAATCACTTACTGAAGGCAGTCCTGACAAACAGCTTGCCCGAGGAAAAACACAAGCACAAGCATTGTCCCATGCTTTGCTTTTACTCTAGTCCTGCTCTTCAGTTGCTTGCCTGACTGGCCAGTGACAGAGCAGAAAAACCAGAGAGGAAAGATAGCAATTAGAAGCAGAGCCACGTGTGATAGAGGCCAGACTTGAGCAGGGATCTGTCACAGACGCACATCACAGTCTGACTTCCCTGGTACCAAAACTTTTTATGAGAAGCCTGGGAATAATGGGTAAGAGATATGCCGGGTGGGATCACTGGCATGCATCAGTGATATTTCACTAAATTTATCTCCTTCTTTCAGAAAACTCAAGAGGATGGGAAGAGAGTGGAAATATTCTCAAATCAAAGACCAAATGGTTCCTGAAACTTCTAGTTAGAAGGAGAAATCAGAAGTCCTACCCTCTCTCCCATGGATATTCGAGTGATCCCATAAACCAGTGTTTGATACTTCAGACCCCAGACTGGCAGACACCTCCAGAGAAGAAAGTACCAGCCTGAACACATAGCAATCAACAGGAGTTGATTTGTTTTGACTACTTTTTGCTTCCTAGAATGCTAGTCTTTCTTGATCCTAAATAATAAAATTTTTAAAAAGACTGGGTCTTTAGTGCATCCATGCGTTCTCCGCCTTCAGCTATCCTTTGACTAAGGGCACAGAAGACATGGACAATTCCCACGTATCTGTGACGTGGCTCCACTTACACACCTATTCTCCTGCCCAAAGTCTGAAGGAGTTAAAAGCTACACAGAAGCTCACCCACTGCACCCCTTCCCTTCCTCTAACGAAGGCTTTGCTCCAGGCTTAAACTTGCAAGTTTGCCTGGCAAGCGTGAGGCTGTGAGTTTATTTCCCTGTACAAAAACCAAAATGCAAGTTCTACATCAACAGTGTGTAGAAGATACGTGGGTTTAGCCTGGGTTGCTCACAAATCCTTTAATAACCCCAGCCTTTGCTAGATGCGCAGCCAGCCGGTCCTCTAGACTCTTTGAGAGTCAAGGGGCTACTAATGTTGACAAGCTATGCTCTGGCACTGGAAATACAACTATAAATATGATGCAGTTTCTGTTCTAAATAATAGTAAAGTTCAATGAAGGAAACAAAGGAATTTTAAGACAACTATAATAGAAGTGACTAATGCCAAGGCCCAGAATGTTCAGGAAGCCCAGGAGGCACTTCCCTTAGGTGAGATGCGGAGGAGAGAAGGAAGTTACAGTTGGTCCAAGAAGGCTAAGCAGCAGGGCACATGGGAGACCGTAAGACATCTTTGATCCTGTGCGAGTGCATTTTCAGGGGCTGAAGTACTGAGAATGAGTGAGGAAGTCACTATAAGTGGGGCTAGAGGAAGCTGTAGTGATGGCACAGGAGATGTGTGGCAGCAGAATGGTCATCATTCCCATACCAAATGGCTTCTTTTGCTTCTTTGGGACCCAATGACTGACTCCCCCACCCCCACCCCAGCCCCAGATCTCTTTCTGTGACCACCCACCATACCACCTCTATAATGAACAAGACTTCTACGAGCAGAGAACAGTGGATCCAGGTAGGGCAGCCCAGGAAGCATCCCATCAGCCTGCTGTGGACCTATCCACTCCTCTGCATCACCATCTTCAGAACGGTCCTTTCACTCTCGGAACAACTTGGAGCAATTTGCCGGGTACTTGAAAGCTTGAATCACTGCTGAGGTGGCTCAAACATTCCATACCTTGGGGGTGGAGGTTCTTCACAGCCCCCCCAACTTCAGGCTTTTCATTTCAGGGGTCTCTCTATACATAATTTTAGAATCAGACACCAAGTCTTTGACTGTACAGGTTGGGAAGCTGCCACCTTCTGCTGCAGAGCAAAGGAGTGGACTTAAGAACTACCAATGAGCTGGTGTAAGAAGAATAAAGATAACTCCCTAGTTCTAGTATACAAACAAAGAAATTCTCATGACAATATGCAAGGGGAAAATTGATAATTTTAAAAGTCAATTTATACTTGACATTCAGAAATCAACAACAAAAGATAAAGGGACTTATTACTGCAGCTCCAATACAATTCAGTTTCTTATGGTGTCAAGAAAGCCTAGGGCCAAACCAACCGGGCAGATCCAGTGTGCACCAACCCTGAGATAAGAGCTCCTGATAATCTCCACAGTAACCTCTGATAGGAGGCTGGAGCTGAGCTCGGACCACAGGTTTGACTTTGCAGTTGCTTTATCAGTCGAAGAGGCTGACAGGATTTATGTGCTAGACCAAGGTTCCTCCACACTTGTGTCTCACAGAGTCCTGGTAGAAAGTAACAACCTTCAGTGCCGAGAAGGCCTCTCACTGTGGAGGCAGGCTGAGAAACAGAATTTCTACAATCATCTGTGTTGTGGCTCATTGCAGTCATTATGTGGAAATGTTTATATGCATAAACTAGATAAAGCAAGGCTGGTTTTCCATTAGCATTCTAATCAAAATTTCCAAAGCCATTAGGGATAGCATTTACTCTATGAAGAAGAATGAGCAGAGTCATTTTCCAAAATGTTTCTATAACTACATTTCAGGTGTTGAGTGTTTTACATTCTGTATTAGCTACAGAGAAGTTCTAAGGACCCATAGAGGTCGGCAAAGAGGGGTAATAAGCAGGCTTCCTTCATAAGTGAAAAAACTACAACCAAAACTCAATTTTTTAATTCTTTCCATCCATTCTTCCTAATGACCTATCATCTTTTATCACACATTTATTGATAGGGCACTTATTGTGTTCATGATATTAGGCTAGGTTCTGAGGGAAAAAAGTTCTAAGGCAAGTTTTAGTCTAAGTGCTATTTTTGTGAGTGTGTTTACAATTTACCGTTAAGAGGAAAAACATTAGAAAGTTAAAGGGAAATAGATATGATCTAAATATATATTTAAAACCAAAAATTTTGTAAAATTAATAAAAAAATACTTTAAAATTATAATTAAAGATTAGAAGATATACAAAAATGCAAGACGGCACACACTATATAATAATGAGTGTTATGACTTTATATGTGGTACTCTAAGAATTCATGAAGGACCAATCACTTGGAGGAAAAAGTTTCTTACAACAGCCAACATTTGAAAGTTAGATAAGTAGAAAGGAAGAGGGAGGATATTTCAGGAACTTTGTATCAGTTATCTGTTGTTACAAACCTCTCAAAAACTTGAGAGACTAAAATCATTCCTTATCTCACAGTTTCTGTGGGTCAAGAGCCCAAAGTGTGGCTTGGCTGACTCCTCTGGCCTGGGCTCCCACATCAGGCTCCAGTTAGTGCATCAGGCAGGGTTGTAGTCATCTCAGGACTTGGCTGCAAGAAGATCTACTTCAAGCTCTCTTGTGAGGATTTTCACAGCCTGGAGTCCTCACTTGGACATCACCATGGGGCTCCTCTGAACAGAGTAACTTGCTTCCCTAAGGCAAGGCCTCCCGAGGAAGAGAATGTGCCCAATCTTGGAAGAGGTGTACCATTATTCCATCATATTCTGTTTGTTAGAAGTAAATGCAACCCACACTGAAAAGAAGGAATTGCATAAGAGCATGCCAGACAAGTGCTCGAGCCACCAAGCTAAATCCCGGCCCTGATCATCTTTTTTTCTTTTTTTTTTTTTTTAAATTTTATTTAAGGAGAAAAGAAAAAAAAAAGCAGAGAAAGGGTACAAGTTATACAGATTTACAGAAAAAAAATGAACAGTAGGAAATCACTAGTTAATGGATTACATATTGTCATCTTAGAAATAATTGTTCAAGTCACAAAATTAAAGCTTGTAAAGTGGACATTCCAACAATGATACTGCAAACAGTTCTGTTCAATGATCCAATAAAACTCTGTGATATCATTTTCTATCTTATACACTTAAATATACATGCAGTTATATAGTTTAGAGCACTTTCTCTTCCTCTCTTTTGTACAATGACTATTACACAGTGATCATCTTTTGATTAGCGCTTTTACTCAATTCCATCAGCATTACTTGAATCTGCTGGGGAAACTTCGTTAAAAACACTAATGTTGGGAATACAGCCCCAGAGATTCTGGTTGAATGTTGTCGACTTAGGGTTCTGATTTCCCAGGTACTTCAACTTCTGTCATCTCCTGAGGGTTAAAAACTCCTAGTCTAAGACCTTGCAATTCCATGTGTAGTCTAGACCAAGAGCATCAGCATCACCTAGCAGTTTTTTCCAAATGAAGTTTTATGTACCACCCTAGATCTACCAAATCAGAATCTGTATTTTTGAAAAGATCCCCAGACAAATTATGCATATATTAAGGTGTAGGAAGCAGGGAATACGTTGTCATAGTTCACCCTGTGCTGTTGTAACAGAACACCACAGACTGGGTAATTTATAATGAAAATAAATTTATTTCTCACAGTTATGGACTCTAGGAAGTCTATGATCCAAAGTCTACACCTGGCAAGGCCTTTACGTTGTGTGACTCCATGGTAGAAGGTAGAAGCATAATAGATTGTGAAAGAGCAGAGAGAAGAGAGCCAAATTCATCCTTTCATCAGAACCCCACTTCTGTGGTGAGGAACCCACTCTTTTTTCTTTATTGGTACCAGGGATTGAACTCACAACTGCATGCTTGCAAGGCAGGTGCTTATGCCGCTGAGCTAAATCCCCAGCCCCGAGGAACCCACTCTTACAGTAATCTATTAATGAAAGCAGAGTTCACAATCAAACTGCAACATTCATCATTCGTGAAAATTTTCATGAAGTTAAAAAATATACAAACCAGTTTTTTCCACATGCCACCCAAGAATCCTATCTGTAAAACTTTCCTAAAGGGATTCTGATGTCAGCTAGGTATAGGATTCATTGGTAAGCAATTTGTCACCTCAAAATCAGTATAGGTTTTTTTACTAATATAAACAGTATTCTTACTGGGATAACACTGTATTCTTGCATGCTCATTGGAAAGTGGTGTTACATAGAATTCTAGAAATGACCATTTCTTGTTCATCCATAAGCATACCAGGAAATGAATTACTTATTAAATCTATGTGCTCTTTGGGTAAGCCATAGAAATCTCAGACCTTTTGCTGCAAGCTCAAGATTAAGCAGAAAACAACATGAATTGTTAATGTCTGATTAAGGGCTGGGGGAAGACAGCGTGTGTCTCTAGTATTCCAATCCTCCACAGGATGAATGAGGACGGGGAGTTCTGTCCCCTGCTGAGGCCCCATTAGGGTGCAGAAACTCAGAAGCTGAGATGGGCGTGGGATGAACATGAAAAACAGCCTGGGATCAAAGAAGAAGTAATCCTGGGAAAGCAGTCAGACTGCCCAGCAGTGAACAGGGCCACTAGCCTGGTAAGGACACAGACCAATTGTCTCTCAGTGTTCCCCAATTCCCAGTGAGACACAGGAACATCAGTACATTTTTATCGTCCACATTCTCCCCAGTTCACTGGTAAAAGCAGTTGAAACTTGGCAAAGTTGGTATCATTGTTGCCTCAATTGTTGTGCATTCTATTTTTTATTTTTTAACTTATTTTTATCCTTCATGCAAATGTTCAGTTGAAAGAGTTCAGGGCATTGAAAGGAAGTCTCAGAGTGTCCACTTTCTTAAGAAAAAAATCTGAGTTCAGTTATAGAGGGATGATAACGGGATGCTGCTTTCCCCAAGTAGAGGAGCCAGAGGAATTTTGTGAGGCTGGGAAGAGAAAGCTCCTTCCTAATTGCCCAAAGGCAGCCAGAAGTCGGAACTCTGTGTCCAGGAACAGCCCAATGGGAAGGCTGCACTTACAAACGGGTCATCCAGTATTGTAGAACCACAGTTACCAGCTGGAGGCAAGAGAAAAAAAAGAAAAGCATCTGCATCCACCTCTTCCACTGCACCAGAGGAGGCCACCAACAGCCAACAAGGACAACATATTTCCACCGTACAACACACTGTGTATTCTGAAGATGTCATAGCTATGAGGAAAGTACTCATTACAGCCTCTTGAAAGTGCCCAAGGAGTTAGGGTCCAAATAAGAAACGTATTCAACAAAATTCAAACTGTGACCTTCCTTTGGAACAAATAAGATTTTAAACAGCAAGTTAAAAATCATTGAATTTGAAAGCCAGAAGGAATCTTAAAGGTCAAGCAGAAATTCCTCTGTTCAATTTACATGTTCATTAAATATTGATTGAATAAATGATCTTCCATTCTCCATTCAAATATTTTCAATGACAGTTATTATTTTTAAAAGTGATTTCCTATACCAATGATAGATTTGCTTTCTTATAGCTTCATATATTTGTATTTGTTATGCCTACTGGAGCAATATAGACTAAGTTTCAGCTTAATATAGTCTAATAAATTTTAAGCTCTTTGAGATAATCCAAGTTCAACATGCATTTCAGCAGCATATAATTCTTAGGAGGTTGACTAACATAAGGTGGATAGCCAATAAATATGTACTGAATACATGAATTAATATCAAGGGATTCACCCACTATATAACATGTCCACCTAGATATCTCAGAGGTTCTCCAACTCAACTCTAGGATTTAAATCAAGATCACCCTTGTGAACATGATCCTCTCCTAAGCCTCCTATTGTAGTGAATAACACCTTCATCTCAAATCCATTCTCTGCTCTCTTCTCTCTACTACCAAAGCCTGGTCCCAACTACCATTTTCCCCTTTAAATGGTCTTTTGAATAAGCTATTCAGTTGCTGGTACCTTCAAATATGTCCTCCTTATAGCAGCCAATGTGGTCTCTTCAAAATGCAGATATGATCATATTACATCCCAGATTTAAAAATTCTTCAGCAATTTCCTCTGTTAAAAAAAAAAAAGGACTCAAATGTTTAAAAGACCTCTAAGACCCTGCATGGCCTGACCCGTTTTCAACTCCCTTGCAGACCTCATATTCTTGCCTCCTTGCTTTACATGCTGTCAAAATGCCTTCTTGCAGTTTGTTTAAAGTACCAGTTACCCTCCCACCCCATGGCCCTTGTGCACATTATTCCCTCCTGATGGAACATTTCTCCAATCTTGTCAACACTTCAGCTCCTACAGATTTTTTTGAGAATAAAATCCACAAATAAATTCTTCAGCAGTGTCTTGGGATCTCCCAACAAGTTCAGGTTGTTTTAATTTTTTTAGTGCTTTCATAACTCAGTTTATAAGGGTATTTCATCAATTTGGTTAAATTTATTTTCTCACTGTAAGCTTTGGGAGAACAAAGACCAAATATGATTTTGCTCATCCTTTAATTTGAAAAATTACATGAACTCTGGGCATCAGCAGGGCCCTAAGTCTTACTGTACTCTTACTTTTGTGTAGTCTTGGGGATCCCAGGGATACCTAAGCTGAAGTATAAGCTCTCAGAGGCCACCGATTTCTGCTTTGCACACTAAAGAGAACATTCCCAGGCAAGTAAAACCTGCCCAGAAAATCTAGCTAGCTTTGAGGAAATCATAAGGGTTCAATATGATTACTATTTTCTCAGCAATTCCTAGCTTGCTTATAATGAGCCCTTTTGGTGTGTTTTATTTTGTGTGGCTGTTTTCAGCAGCTGTATTATTAAAATGCATAAGTCTATAATTATAGAGCTGCATACTCTCATCCCTTAAATATGTACCTAGCACATACTATATTCCTAAGCACTGTGCCAGCTGCTGAGTTACAAAACACCCAAAGCTCAACCCCTGTCTTCAAGGTGCTCTTTCTAGTGGGAGAAACAGATGTAAAAATAAGCTTTAACAGAGAAAGGACCAAACAGCTTTAAAAACATAGAGAACCTCTGACAGCCCAAGCCTGGGAGGCCTCTAAAGGGGATAATGTGGGTTCATAATAGAGACAACACTGGTTCCTTGAGGTAAGTGGTGCTTGAAGATTCCTTAGGACAAAGATGAGCATCCTCAACAAATACACACACACACACACACACACACACACACACACACACACACGCTTGCACGTGTGCACATGTGGTATAATGTTTGCAACTAATAACCTGGAATTTAATGGGAAAATGCTTAACTCTGTCCTAGACACTACCAGTTTGAGGATTCTTTGTTGTTTGTTGGTTGTCTGTTTGTCTGTTTGTTTGTTTCTTGCAAGGGAATTGAGTGTGTGTGAGTGTTCACAGGACCCTATGGAGATTCAAACCACAGAACAGTATATTTACCTTGTCAGGGAAGGCCTAAAGATTCCCAGAGTGCTATTGCGGCACATAGCATGAAACAGGCCAGCTAAAGTGACAGTAGTCGGGGTTAAAGAGACCAAAAACTAAGCCAAACAAAGTGGAAGGAGAAAGAAAGAGAACATTATTTCCTTCTATACCAGTCACTCCTTTTAGCTTTTTTGTATTCAAGAACCATTGTAAGCCTCTGGGATTTCCAGAACCTGGTGCTGCAGGGCCTCAGACCACCTCACTGTCCTGCTATGGGAACCATGAGAAAGCCTGGAGAGGTGTTTAAGAAAGTCAGATACTCTACAGGGAGGCAAATAATGCCCTCAGGATGGCTATGAACTTCTGCTGTGGTGTGTGTTCTTTTATTTCACACTCTGTGAAATACTGAAACTTCTTCTCAGATATGCAGGCACCTTGTAGCCTCCACTACATTTATTAAATCTTTATCTGGATAAGATTAAGTTGTTTTCATTCATGGAATTGTTTTTAGTCAGAGCAAAACTTTTCTTTCTCCTGCAAGGTATAAAAACATTCCGCTGTAAATCAAACCATTCAGATTTCTTTCTACCTTTCCTCTGGCTTCATGTCTTCTGAGAGCTCTGGAAAAAAAAAAAAAAAAAACGGTGATGCGATTCCTCCAGCCATCCATATCTCGTGTTCACATTAATCAGCTCACAGTGCTCCATTCTCAATGGCCTACAACAATGAACATTCGCTTTTTGCTCTTGCTTTTACCACAAGTTGGTTACTAAGTGTTGCTCCCTGTGTCCTGCCAGTACAGACCCCTGGCTGGAAGAGAAATCTCTTTTTGTGGCATACTGTTTTTAGAGCAGAAGAACAGGAACGCAAGAGCTACTAGTTGAAGTTCAAAGTGCTTCCTAAAGCTTCTGCTCAGACCTGGCATCGCATCAACTCACACTTACCAGTCAAGGCTCTTCCTTGAGCAAGTTCCACGTGGGCTGGGTAGGACCCACCCACCAAAAGCAGAAACAAGATCATCGTTCATCTATAGGAAAGGAGGATGAAATGCTTTACAATAATGACCACAGCCTACCACTCTCTGACTCCACTTAACTACTTAACTACTTTGTCTCCATCATGAAGAATTTCTCCTGATCTCAATGCAAAAGAAATTTGATGTTATTTTTTTCTAAGAATTGTTCTAGGTCAGCACTTGCTATATTGCTCTTCAGAATGTCGCTGTTCCTCAAGATGATATTTGTTGCCCAAATGAAAAGAATTCCATGCACAGATAATTTTGGCAAATGCCACAGATTAATGGTGTCATTTAATAGTCATAGTAATTCTTATCACCATATTAAATGCTTTGAAAACTCCTACTGTAAAGATACCTATTTAACCCAAGATTGAAATCGCAGAATTCTTCTTGTAATGGCACAACCATTAATGTCTCATGAAATTCTAGTGGCCAACACTAGAATCCTAAAGAATTAATGGAGAATCAGTCAGAGGACTTCAAGCTGTTTCCTCATTTCTGTGGATCTAGACTGAAGGACACCTGATGATGTCAACAGACCAACAGGTCTCTACAGGTGCCTAAAAAAAGGCTTGCATTTTTTGCTACGATCAATTTCTATGTAAGAAATTTTACAGTGCTACTCAAGTATTACCCTCCACCTAATAAAGTAAAACTATCTCAAGGCCTTCCTTTCTTTGTGCAGAAAATCAAACTCTCTTAAATACTGCGTCCGATTATTGAGAATATAGCATGAGCCAAGCAGACACAGGATCTACCTTTTTGGATTTATCAGTTTAAGATCAGAAGAAACAGACACAGACACACACAGAATTGCCAGTGATCATACAGACTCATTGCTGGCTACCCATTCCCTCTGGAAATACTTCCAATGTTTAATTTCTGAGGCCACATGTTGTTGATTTCTCTCCATCGTTGGTCTTTCTCAGTTTCCTTTGCTGCTCTTCCTTCTCAAATGGAGCTTCTGTGGAGCTTCAGGGCCCTTCCTGGGTCTTTCTTCATCTTCTCCTTCTCCTAAGTGATCACATTCCTCCTCACAGCACTAAATTTCATATGTGTACCTGCTATGGCTTGATTCTGGATGTCCCTTCAAAGCCTCATGTACTCATAGGTGGGATTTTTGGAGGTTGCTGGATATATGGTGTGTGATATTTGGATTAAGGGTGTCTGACAGCTAAACATGTTTAATACAGTCCTGGGTATGGATAGTGGAAGGGCTATCCTGGATATGGATGGCTCCAATCAATGGGCTTATAGCCTGCATGGAATGCAAGGGCAGAGAGAGAAGGTAGGCTCACTGCTACAGCTGCTTGCTACTTCACTGCCTTTTTCCTGCTTTATTGTGTACTGTTTCCCCTCAGCAATCCTCTTCTGTCCTGCAAAAAGAGCCAGCAGACTACAGACTGAAACCTCTACAAACTGTGAGCAAAAACGCATGTGTTGCGGAAGATTAACTAATGAGCAACTTGTTAACACCCAGGTGCACTGAAGCAGCATGGTGCTGGGTGTGAATGGCCCACCTGAGATTGTTGCCAAAAGCATAAAAAGAGAAGGGGAAAGATGAGGAGGGGAAGATGTGTGCTGTTAATTCTCCTGGAGAAGCTTATCACACTGGTTTTGCTGATATGAACTCAGCTGTTACCATCGAGGAGCTCAAGTTCTCGCTGTCACTGAGGATGGCTGCGGTCCTTTTCGGGGGAGCTCTGGTCCTTACCTTGGGTTTCACTTCCTAGCTCCAGGGCAGATCCCTCAGCCTGCTAGCACAGATCCTTCATCCCTCTGGAGAAGACTTTTCCACTTCCACCTCTGACCTTTGGGCCTTCCCAGTGCTGATCCTTGTAACAGACTTTCATTAGACATTGTTGTGGGTTCTGGGCCTCCAGTTGGACTTGTAAGGACATTGCTATGGGCTCTAGGTCTTCAGCTAGACTCATGCAGAATGTTGCCATAGTATGAGGAACCACTCAGACTGCTTCAAAGCTCAGGGGCATCGAAGGACACCTGAGCATGTGACCCCACTAGTACAGGCACACAGTGGAATGCAGTTAAGTAACCACGACATAGCACAGGTAAACACACATGCATTCTACAAGAATATATATATGAGATAACAATGTGTATAAAAATTATACAATAAAGACACAGGTAGGGCTCTTTCTCTGGCTTTTATGCTCTTCTGCTCTGCTCTGCTCCATGTTACCTGCTGTTGTGCTGATGTCTTGCGCACATGCATCCTTTAATCTTGGGACTTTGCCATCAAAAATCTCTCTTGGGTCTCATAAGGGGGCCAGGACATGGGATCCAGGCCATCAGCTGGATTCTTTGGGTCTTCAGCGTGTGGACAGATCTCCCACACTCTTTCCCATTTGATTCTTTGGATGAATATTATAATCCTAAAACTTGTGTGTACTGTATTAAATCTTTTCCATTATAAGCCCTGACTACTTGAACTATGTCTTGAACTTTGTTGAGTATTTTGTCTTAAAAATGAAGAAAGTCATCAAGACCGTATTTGTGACTCACAAATTTATAATCTCCAGTGTAAATCTCTCCTACATCTCATCCCCTCAACTGAGCCACCTTAACACCTGCCTCTTATTTCATGTGTTCTCTCTTTTGCTGTAATTGTTTGGCTATTTCCTTCATCCTCCTCCTAATTTATAAACCCTCGAGGGCAGGTCTCCTCAGTCTGTTTCATCTTGAGTTTCCACTGTGTAGGGAATCGTAAATGTTTAATATATGATTATTAAGTTTAATGTTTGAACTGACTTTCTGCTTTAGGGATCACCGAGACCCAGATGTAATGAAAGGGAATATTTTATTTAAAGAAATAATGCCTCATCCTTCTGTATTTTCAAATGAACAATCTAAAATGAGAGAACACAGCTACATACATTGGCATGAAGTGAATGCTTGAGTTTAAAAATGCTAAAATAAGCCAACATCATCCCTTGTGGTTGTGGGAAGCTGCCGCAAAGGTTTTATACACTGCTTATGCTCCTGCACCCCATCTGGCGATGCCTGTATGTTACAGCCATATGTGACTCATACCTTGCAACCGTCTCACTCCAATCTACTCCCCACTTTAAAATGAAAAACAAAAGGAAGGCAACAAGGTGCTTGCCTAAAAATCTCCCACCTGACTAGGGCAGCAAGTCAATTGCATAACATTTACTACTCCATTGGATTCCAGGCCAAGGCAGACTCCCTGGATCACACAGAGATGCTTCAGCAGTATACTGCTAATAACAGCATGGGGCAATTGCGCTTCTGAGCCACTTCTGAGCCTTGCTCTGAGGTTTGCTCTTGCTCTTTGCTAAGCCTCTCCCTAGTTCTCTTCCTCCAGGCAAAATAAATTAGGCTTTATATTTCCTTAGAAGGAAAGGAGAGTGGCCATGCTGAAGTACTACTGGACTGTCTGCAGAAAAACTAAGAGCATTTTTCTAGCTGAACTGAGTGAGTCAGGGCTCCTCCCTACCACACGGAGAGGCCGTGGTCATCATGTGGTCCTCTTGCACAGCTCCTTGGTGTGTTTATGGACAAGCTGCTTTTTTTCCCATCTCTTTAGCCTCCACATCCCTGAAACTTAGTAGTTATCAAAACAAGAAGGAAATTGTTTGCATTGTATCTCTTCTGCAAACATATTTTTTCAGATGCCACAGCATTTTTAATTCTATCTTTATTTTTCTGTTAGTATCCCTTCCTTATCACATTTCCCTCAAAACATAAATAGCTTGTGCCACTGTATTTATTAACAAGGGGTCCTCAAGGCAGACAGTGTTGTGAGGAATTTCTGCTGGGTGTTTGGTATGCTATCCAGCTGAGTCCCCAACCACATTGTAAGTCAGTGCAAACATAGCCAACTGGTGAATAAAGGTGACAGTTATACTAACATGCTACAGCTGTGATTCTCAGCTCAACCTCTGGGTCACTAATCTGTGGCTTAAGCTACTACTTTTTAAAATAAGATATTCTGACACAGAGAGATCATTGTCAGTTGAGCCTTCCAAAACTCCTCTTCCCTTGGGTTCTTCTAGTTCATCCTTCTTGGCACATGCTTCCTCTCTGCATTTTTTGTTATCTTCCATCCATGAGTTCTCACCCCAGCCTGGACTCTGATGCCGGATTAGATCAATATCATGTGCTTTGTCAGGTAGTATGACACAACATTATTTCAGTTTGATGGGTGCTTAAGTTGTTCATCATCCAAGGGCAATTTGGCAGTATTTCCTCTACCCTCCTTTGGTAACTTCCAAAGTTCCCACAGTTACTATTCAGTCAGGTACTGTGTTAACTCTTAGACTAATTTGCAATTAGAGCCCTCCCAAAAGGATAGCTTGTACTTCTGTTCAGTAATCTTTTCATTCACTCATGCTAAGCATTCATTATGCAGCTCAACGTGAAGACCCTTTTAACTTGTCATATACACATTGTATATAACAGCGCTTGCATTCTAAACTAGGTTTTAACACAGTAGTATGATGGTGAACGAAAAATAACCACTTAACGACAGCATCCATAGCCATGCTGAATGTTACAAATAAATTACCCTTGGCCCTGTACTTGTCTCTATATCTGTACCAGCAATATTCACTGTAAATGCTACAAAATCTGTCTGAGATACAAAGATCCTAGAAATGGGACAAGAGTAGATGTGGTGTGGGCCCAATTCCTGGAACAGGAGGACATTGGGTCACAGTGGCTCAAGTTGTAATAGATCAAGGTCCCACTTGAACACTACTTTTCCTAAGTGACTTAGGAACTCTTCCCTAGCTCCCAAAGCTAACTTTGGGCTACACTTCTTATCTGCATATCTGTCTAAGTCACTTCCTCATTGCTGGGACAAAATATGCAGCACCTGCAATTTAAAGATGGACAATTTTATTTTGTCTCATTTTTCAGTCCAAGTCAGAGCCAAAGCAGAAATGGAATAATGGAAGGGCCTAGGCTGAGGAAACCCAAGCTCGCATCATGACAACCAGGAAGCAAAGAGGAAAAAAAGTCAGAGAGGGCGATGCACCCTTCCAGGTCACACCCCCAGTGACCTGCTTCTTCTAACAAAGCCCAAACAGCACACTCAACCCCGATCTTACCAATGAATGAATCCATTGATGAATGTAACGCTTCTGTGATCCAATCAACCTCCAACAGCCTTGTCTCAGAGTACATGATAGTTCTGGAAAACATTTCAGATCCAAACCACAACATTCTACCCCTAGCTCCCAAAAGACTCATGTACATCTCTTTATATAAAAATGAATTTAGTCTATGTAAGACTCATCAAAGTTTTAACACTTCCAGAATTGCTGAAAAGTCCAAGTCCAAGGTCTCCTCTGAGACTCAAGATAAATTGTTATCTATGAGCACTTATAAAATCAGAAAGAAAGTTAACACCACTGATATACAATGATATAGTGCAGTGGTGACAAAACTATGGCACACGTACTGCAGTGGGCTGTTGGTATCATTGAAAACTCTAAAAGGTTTGCCATCACTGGCATAAAGTAAACATTTCCATTCAAAAAGAGATAAGTATGAGTGCCAGAAAAGAATGAGACTAAAGCAAGACCAAAACCCAACAAGGCAAGCATTAAATCCTAAAGTTCCACATTCAGCACTCAGGAAAGGGCATAATGGAATGTGAATTCAAAAGGCTGGGACATCCTGCCCCTATGGTATCACAAATTACAGTCCTCATAACCTCTCTCTTGGAATGGTTTTGCTCTCTGCCTGTTGCTTTCCTCTGCAGATAATCCATGTTCCTGGCATCTCTAACTTCCTGAGGTCTCTACTGTGCCTTCAGTTTCTCTGGCACAGGTTCATGCACTGCCCTCTCAGAGACACACTGTCTGGCTTCCACGGGGTTCTTCTGAAGTCCATGTGGAAGCCACCCCAATCTTGTAACTCTTGCATTCTCCATATCCACAAAAATAGCAGCACATGGATGATACCAAGGACCAGTCCTAGTCTGACCAGTCACTGAGCACCTATGTGTGATAGTTGCAGAGGCTTCCAGGTGCCTGGATGACTGAGCACACTGAACCTAGGGAACCCATTCATTAGGGTAGCCCTTTTTTAGCAGGGCTCCCTGGGGCTCTCTTTTCAAAGCAAAGTCCTTCACTTTAGCACTTTTAAGACCATGAAGGGTCTGGTTGATTCCTGAGATGTTGTCAAAGCATTTTTCCTATTGTCTTGATGTAAGGTAGTTGGCTTCTTTGTAATGTTAATCTTTGCAGCAACCAGGCTCTCCTCTACTTCAACTTTACAAGCCCTAACTTTACAGAAGCCAACTTCATAGGCTCTTCTTTTCTGTCCACCAGCAAATTTTTTCAAATATTCAGTTTGACTTTTTTCTCCTGCTTCTCACTCTAAATATGGCTTAAAGATGCTACAGCTTGGGGCTGGGGATTTAGCTCAGCAGCATAAGTGCCTGCCTTGCAAGCAGGCAGTCGTGAGTTCCATCCCTGGTACCGATAAAAACCAAAAAGACCAAAAAAAGAAAAGAAAAAAAAAATGCCACAGCTTGTTCATCAAGCTGCCTTCAAATTTCCTCTGACAGAATAATTGATTTGCTGCCTCAGTCTCCCACAAAGTGGAAAAAATGTAGATAAATTTTCTGCCAGAGCATAACATCTCAACTTCAACTACCAAAGGAGTCTTTGTTCCCAGTTGAAATCTCCTGAGCCAGGCCTTCATCATCAGTATTTGTTTCAGAATTCTGATCTGAACTCTGCGCAGAATCTACCATCAAGCTCAGTTTAAACATTCTAGGACTTTTCTGACCAGAATGTCCAAACACTTCCGGCACCCTCCTTGAACCAGTTTGAAATCACAATGCCCAGCACAATCACAGCAATGACCCCACTTCTCTGGTACCAAAATCTGTCTTGGTAATTTCCTTGCTATTAAGACAAAATATCTGACTGTCTCAATTTAAAGGAGGGGAGATTTATTTTGGCTCACATTTCAATCCATGGTTGGCTGACTGCTAGGCAGAAACATCAGACTGGAAGCGCCTGCACACAGGAAAGCTGTTTGAACCACAATGGTCAGTAAAAAGAGAGGGATGGGCGGAGGAAGGGATGGAAGTAATGCCTTCAAGATCACACCACCAATGACCCATGTCTTCCAACCAGATCCACATCCCGACTGCACACTCAGCACCTGAACACTCTGGTAAATGAATCCACTGGTGAGCACAGAGTGCCTACAATCTAAGCATCTTCCCAAAGCCTCACCTTTGACCACATGAGGGTTTTGGGGACATTCCAGTTCCAAACCATAATGACATGAGTCTTCCCATAAGTGCCCTATAGGGACTCCAAGGTCCAGCACCACCACCACCTCCACCACTCCATCACTTCTTCAGTTAGCTCTAGCTCCATTTTGCCATTCTTTCTGCCTTGTTTCCTTTGCCTCCTAATTGGGGAAGGGAGAGTAAAAATCAGCAGCCCCAAAACTAGGAGGCACTATAGATTTATCAACGATGAAGTACTTGTTAGTGGTAGTGGGCACTACTGGCACAGAGAACCAGAGCCACCAAACCTCTGTTCAGGGAAAACAGGATGAGTCCTCTCCATCAATATCTCTTATCCATACATCTTCTGTTGTGTGTGGCATCAGACACCACACACTGCTTCTTTATCCCCAAATTTAGGTGTACTAGGGAGGGTCTCACTGCCAGGGAGGCACATGCAACTCTCTCCGCTCTTTCTGCCTGGAGTAAAAAGGGTATTTATTTGCTTCTCCTTGAAATATGAAGCAAGAAGCTTCCCTGAGATTCTTGGAAAGCCCAACTATGTCATTACTCCGTGCCAAGAAGACCACTGGCAGACTGGAGGATATAAAATAAGCTATATAATTGAAGTAGTAGAATTTGAGTTCTCTATAAAAATTAAAACATTTACATTCTATTAGGTAACTCCCACCACCAAAGGAGAGGGAAGAGCATTTATGCAGATATTCTCCCTAACTGTCACCAACTCTCCGCAGCCTACTCTACTGTCCAGGGTTTTCCAACTTTTTTAACTCTCTGGTGAGATATTGTTGGACAGGAGTATGAAATCATATTGCTTTGGGATTGTTTTGCTTTGTTTTGTTTTTTGTAAATGGAGCTCAAAGAACAAAGTCATAAGATCAGTCTGTTAGCAACATGAAAACCTCTTTTCTAGCTTCTCTACTTCTACTTGAGCTTCACCAAGCCCTTTGGGCTCCTGGCAAGCAAGACAAAATAAAAAGGATTTCCAGGGACAGCAGAAAGTTTTCGTGTGACCCACAGTTCTCTCTCTTGGCAGAAAATCCCTACTGCGAAATCAGAAATTCCAGGCAAGTAGAAAGAAATCCTCCCTCCAAAAACAGTAGCCACTTGGGAGACGTTAACACATCTTCACTGTTAATGGTGTGTCTTCCTGGATAGCTGTGGTCTTTTGTAAGCCTGGGAATTAGGAAACAAGAACAAAAGGAGAAAATGAAGTTGAAAGATAGGAAGAACGCCCAACACACTGAGGGTGCTATGTTATCAGCTGTGTTCCACATCACACATACACATACAGTGGTGCATTGTCCATTGCCATGAGTCAGCTAGGTGTTCCCCTGGTTGAGTTCTACCCATCAGAGTTTCTTCAGGAGCTGGAAAACACAGAATTTGATGTGAAAAGTCAAGGCAGGATTAGGAGAAAGAACCAAGAACACAAACTTACCCCACTTCATTCAGCACAGAAAGACCCAAAAGACCAGGATGATAGTGCCTAGGAAAGACTAAGGACACATGAAGTGCCCAGCACCAGCTATAGGAGCTCAGAGGAATAGGAAGATGACTGATGCAGACCTCAGCAGGTCCTCAGCATCCTCTGGTTTATAGAGGGCAGCAAAGAGAAGTTACAAGACAGGCAAGCTATTGGGGGCTCATAATGTCATGGAAAAGGGACAAGAAGGAGACAGCAGCTGCTTCTCCCATAATAGCACTCATGGTTACAGGGGCATCTGTGCTTTGTGCCCTGATATAACACTGTAATAGGCCTTTTCTGTACTACAATTCTTTCTTTTTAACAATTGCCTACACTGCAATCCAAAAAGATTTTTTTTTAAATCATGTTGCCCAGAACCCAGCCAAGCCTGCTTAAATCAGACTAGGGCTGGGTGAGAGTTGCACCCAGGCTTCCATAGTGCTTAAAACTCCCATGCAGTCCTGGTGGGAGCTGAGGCTGGGGAGTAATTGTCCTCATTCCCTCATTCTCCACCCTCCACATTCCTTTCATCTAAGCTGCTATATTTCCTTTTTATTTTTATTTATTCTACTTTGTTCTTTCAGTAGATAATTCTATAATACTCCATTAAACCTTTTCCTATTCTTTAACTTTGCTTTTTCTCATTTAATTTTCATTGCCTGCTCCACTTACTTCATCTTCCCATTATGTTTGTTTGATAATTTTATGTTTTCTTTAGTCCACATCAACATTTACAGGGCACTTGATGTGGGGAGAGTACAATGTAGACACTTAACAGCTACTAAAAATCAAATCCAGTGTAACAATACGTTCGGCTAAATTCTATGCTGCAGATGTGAGCTTTTGTCTTATGGAAGACTGGCATTTTGGCAAAGTATATGGAAGCAGCTGCTTTGGTATACAAACAAAAAGTCCAAAATAAATATCTTAAGACAAGAAATAAAAGAAGGCTCCACCAAGAGAGAGGAAAACAGCATTAACAACACACAGACACTGAATACCAACATCTCCCTACCAAGCTGTTAACCTCACTCTAGAAGAGAAATTTGCTGCAGAAGGAAAAAGGACTCACACTGAAGATATTCTTGGAGGGGAGAACATCTGCTGACTCAGGTTCATTTTCCTGTCCACAGACAAGGCAAAATCTATGAGCCATGAAGTGTTGAGAAGAGAACTAAGGGCCAGGAGATGGTCCAGAAACAGAGCTCTTTGCTCCTCAGTGCAATTCCTGCAGAGATCCGAGTCTTCCTGTTGCCTGTACAGGTGAGAGCTACCGTGGAGCCTCAGAATCACAAGTCAAAAACATTGTTTTCTCATTAGACCCACACCATAGAAACTAGTGGGTGCTTTCTAAATAACTAAGTGAATGACTCCAAAGAAAGCATCCACAGGAAAGTTTGTAAGAAGACTGAAAATGAAAATGGCACTGCAATTCCACCCTGGAAGCTCAGTCCCCTGACATACTCCTCAATTTCTCTGTCTTCCCTTTACCTTAATGCTTTTTCCCATGTCAAGCCAGGTACCTTATTGGAGTAACAAAAGCTAGAGACATTTGTTCCTTTTGGGAGTATGTTATGGCAGATAACTTGATATCCCCCAAAACCTCAAGTATTCATAGGTGGGGCTTTTGGGAGGTGGCCAGATCATGTGTGATCTGGATTAGGCCAGATGTGTGATGCTGGATTAGGATGTGAGATACTAAGATTAAGAGTGTGTGATAGATAAATTGGTTTAGCATAGTTCTGGGGGTAGATAATGGAAAAATTGATTATGGATATGAGAACCACCACCCAAAAGGGTTGTAGTCTGGAAAGATTTTGCTGCTGCTCTCTGCCTCCCCTGCCATGGACTGTTTCTCCTTTGCCCTGCCATCTTACCTTGGAGCCAACTGACTATGGACTGAAACCTGTACAAACTGTAAGCCAAAACTGTGTCTTCCTCCTTTAATTTGTAAGTGTTGGGTATTTTGTCATAAATAACTCAATGAGAAAAGTAAAAGTAATGATGAGAAAATGTAACTCTCTAACTCAGCAAATGAGAAAAGTAACTCACAGCAAAATTTTGCAGTTTACTTTTCTTGGTAGAATTGAAAACTCAACCGTGCAATTTCCTGTGGAGATTGCCAGAGCCACAGTAAAAGAGAAGAGTTATTACTGGACAACCTACCCAAGAAGCTGAACACTGACCCTTCCACCTCCCACACCAGTCAGCTGGCCTCAGCACTTGCCTAACTGTAGATCACAAAGTGAGCTCCCATGTATAATTTCCTGATGCCAACATGGAATAGTATTATCCCCATTTTGGAGCCCAAGAAACTGAGGTGTGGGGAGGTAAGTGACTCACAGGTAAGTGATGGAGTCATCACTTCCCACATCTTCTTAATCTGAATTCGGTAGTCTTCAGAACAACACAGCTGCTCTTTAAGAAATGGAGCAGGCAGTGAGGAAAAGATCTACACATACTAGTTCCAGGACCTCTTTCAGCCCAGTCTTATAAATAGCATCCTTTCCGAGGCTAGTCTACACAGAGATACAGTTACTCAGCTGCCTAATCCTCAACAGTTTGTGCAAATTAAGTGAAATAAGTCAGGCATAGAAAGACAAGCACAGCATGGTCTCACTCATATGTGAAATCTAAGAGTTGATCTCTCACAGAGGCTGAGAGTAGAATGTGGTTACCAAAGGCTGGGGATAGTAGTGGGAGGGGAGGAGCAGGGATAGGGTGATCAACAGCTACTAAGTCAGAGTTCAATCAGAGTGAGAAGCTCTGGTGTGCTAATATACAGTAAGTATGCTACGGATAGCAATTATGTATTCTGTGTCTCAAAAAACTAGAAAGAAAGGAATTTTAACATTTTCACTATAAATAAATGGTAAATGCTTCAATAGATAGATATGTTCAACCAGATTTAAACATTGCCCGGTTCATCAAATCACAGCATAATTTCATATGACAGTTAAAAATAAGTTTTAATTTTAAAACTTAGTTTTAGTTTTAAAACTTTAGTTTTAATTTTAAAACTTAGTTTTTAAAAACAATTTTAAAACTTTAGTTTTAATTTTAAAACTTAGTTTTTAAAAACAAAGCAATAAAATGTGAGTTCAAGGAGTTCATTTAAAGAACATTAAAAGTTCATTTAAAGAACAGGCAGAGTATCTCTCCATAAGAGTACAGGAAAGTTGAGTTGAAGCAAGAGTTATAAGACTTGCTGCAGTTCTTTCTGCCCTCAAACCTTTCATTCTTTTTGCTGCTCCCAATGAAGCCAATAAACTCCTCTTCTTTCACTGCTGTTTGATCTGTTGGTTGATTTGCTTAGTCCTCCCCACCACCATACAGCCCTGAAAATGAAATATGAGCCACATCAACCTTGCAGCCATCTCAATCCATCTCATGCTAATGGAAAAACGAGTAGAGCTTGTGGCAGTTTGCATATTAGGGTCAGCAGTTCCCTTTTTAACCTTCCCAGTCAGAGGAGGTTGTAGGAAGCAGAAGTTCTGCAATGAAGCATCCTGGAGGCATCCTGCAGCGCAGCTGAGACCTCAGGTCTTTTTTGTGGCTCCATTGGAGGAATGAGCTCCTTCCTGCCCTTTCCTGTTGTGTGTTGTGGACCACAACAGGCTTCTGTCAGACATCCTGAGGAGAGAAGAAACTGGGTCACTTTGGTCAGTATTTTTGAGGACCAGGAAGGGTTTAACAGATGCTTTGGCGAGATGACCCTGGAGATCAAAGCAAACCAAATAACAACCGTGAGGCAACATTCATAAAGCATAAAGCACTGTACACAATGCACGATTTCTACAAATGAGGAGCTGAAGGATGATTTGAAGGTGCCTCCAGAACCCACTTGAGCAGTTTATCACAGTGAATGACAATTGGGAAAGACATGAAGAAGGGAAGCTTGTTGGAGATCACGGGAGAAGATGAACCAAGCCCTCAACCACTCCTGCCCCTCCTACTAACTTCAGATCTTAGGTGTCAGCAGAAAGCGGGGTGCACACCCGTCATCCCAGCACTTTGGGAAGCTGAGGCAGGGAGACAGTAAATTCAAGCCATCTGGGCAGCTTAACCTTTTAGTGAGGCCCATCTCAAAGTAAAAAATAAAACAACAGGTTGGAGATATACGTCAGTGTGAAGACTACAGGTTCAATCCCAAGTAATTTAAACACACATTCATTCTCTCTCTCTCTCTCTCTCTCTCTCTCTCTCTCTCTCTCTCTCCCTCCCCTCGTCTGTCTCTCTCTTCCTCTCTCTCTCTCTCTGTGTTACTCTCTCTCTGTCTCTCTCACTGTTTCTGTCTCTCTCTTTCTCTCTTTCTCTCTGTCTCTCTGTCTCTCTGTCTCTGTCTCTCTCTGTCTCTCTCTCTCTCTCTCTCTCTCTCTCTCTCTCTCTCTCTCTCTCTCCTATCATCATTATTTTTAAAGCAAGGAGAAAACTAAAAAATAGCTAAGCAATGAGCCAAGTGTTTGCAAATATAATTTCATGTATTTCTCTTTAAAATCACAGATTTTAAAGGAAAAAAATTGTTCTCTCCAGAAGTCACACAAAAGAACAGACATTCCCTAGGGCCTGGGAAACAATGGTCCTACATTTGGCCTTGACACAGAAAGAATGACAGAACACAGGGAATGCAACCTTCACATAGCTGGCAAGGGCGGAACCTGAGGGCAGAGCAGCCCTGGGTACCTTAGGACCGGCACGTTTTGCCCCAGTTCCGCCCTGGCCCAGGCCCAGCTGGCTTTCCCAGCCCAGATGGAGCCCTGCTAGGGAAACTCCACCCCACACTTCCTGCCTTCACCTGGGCTGTGATTCCTCATTCACTCCAGCTCTCTGTTAGGCCTACAAGAAGACTGTTTTTACCAGTTAACAATAAACCCTTAAAGTTACTTCTAACTTGTAGAATATATTAATTATGGTCATAGGTATGCATGCATTTGGGGGATTTTCCAGAAATTTTCTGAATAATTTGGAACACAGGCTGATTTGAGCCCTGCTAACTATTCTTTTGATACTGATACAACTTTAAGCCCATGGTTCTTCTTCCTGCCCCCATGATTTCTTCTTTTTCTCTTCTTTTTTTCAATGTCCTCCTTCCTACACAGCCCCCTCTACCTGATGTTTCAGTTAAGCTACCAACAGGAGGTGGAGGTCATTCTGAGTAATTAGTGAGGATTAATAAAAGGGATATTTACACAAATTGGACCATCAGTCAGGGATTGATATGTGATGCCTCCAAGAAAAAAATGTTGGTATCCTAACCCCCAGTACCTTAGATTGTGAACTTATTGGGAAGTAGGGTGATTGCACACAGAACAAGCTCAGATGGGGTCATGCTCGGGTACAGTGGATCCCCGGACTAGTACGACTGGTGTCCTTACACAACAGCCAGGTCAAGACAAACACTCAGGGAGAGAACCATGTGCCAGTGAAGGCAGAAACTGCAGTCCCGCAGCCACAAGCACGCCCTGGGATCACCACCAGCCACACACCCAGAAGCTAGGAAGAGGCAAGGAAGGTCTCCCCTGTGGGCTCAGAGGAGCAAGGTCCAGCTGACACCTTGAGGTCGGCTTGTTAGCCTCCAAACTGTTGTTTTAAACCACTAAATTTTTGATATTTTCGGGCAGCTGTAGGAAGCTTATACAAGAGAATTATGAGCAACAAACAACAAAAAGATGGTGAAACCCCTGAGGTGCTGGCAAACAAGAAGCTGCTACCACCCTAGACCTGGAGCGTGGCAGGGAGGAGACGTTACTGAAATCTGCAGCCACAGAAGCACTGGAGTCTCCGGAGCAGTAAGGCAACCTCAGTCATCCCGAGCCTTGCAGGAAGGAACCTGGGGTAGTAACACACATCTCCCTCTCCCCTTGCCTGCACACTCCAGATGGGGCTTCCCACTGGCCAAACCAGAGGGCTGTCAGGAAGAAGGGAAACAGATGCAGCTCACTCACATCAGCCTCTTAGAGCAGCAGGAAGTCGAGTGGCTCTGGAGGGATAACAGACCTAGTTATCCTGACCAGGACCTTGCCTGTAACAAGCTCTCATGAGTCTCCTGCTTCTGTAGAATACTTATTACAGTTCAGTGAAGGAACTCATTATGCAAATTTTTGATTGCTGATTGACAAGAGATATGCTTGCCATTCCTTGGTGATTCTTCAGGGTCTGGTGCATAGCAAGAATACCTAGGTTTCTAGGACTTACTGACAGCTAGGCAAACTGATGTGAAAATAGCAAGTCCAGAGAAGCTGCTTTGGCAGAAGTTGCTCTTGCAAAGAACTATACAAGGCATGAGCACCATGACGTCTTTCAGGTGGATACTGATGGTGCAGTTTGCAGTTGTCCACTAATGTGGTTGCCTTGAGTACTTGCTTATAGTTCTCCGAGAATGGTGGTAAGATGGGTGGCTGAACAAACAGAGCCGTGTGGGAAAAGCAGCTGCATGGGGTCAGGCAAACCCAAGGGGCTCACTCCTAAATTTCCTTGGGACAGTCTGTCCCAATCACACTAGGAATGTTAAGGAAGTTTAGGTGGGTCTTTCCTCCGCTAGGAGAGAATTTAGCTCTCAGATCCATCCCCAGACATTGTTTGACACTTTCACTCTTATTTTGGTTAGCCAGTGACTATGTCTCTCCTTCTGCTGCGCTCTCTAGATGCCACTGTTAATTTACCTGTTGGATCACAAAATTGCAAATTGTACTGAGATTTAACTTCAAAAGTATAGGTCCAAAGAATTCAAGCACCCCTTCTGAAATTTGAATAAATGTTATGCTGTCATAAACTGTAGTGGTGGCTTCATCTATGTTTACAATGTTCTTGCATGGTATAAGTCAGTGTAACATAGGTTATCCATCCGGAGGAAAAAAAGACAGATGAGCTCCAAAAAAAATAGGAAACTGATTTAAATTTGGTGACAATGTTTCACTGGCTTGCTCTTTTACACATGGTAAGCAATCCTTATCCAATTTTGCCTATAGGGAGCTGGCAGTGGGTCTTTGTGCACATAGTATCGATCTCCTTGTTTGATAGTTCTTTTGATTGCAGCTGTAAATATCAATAATTTTTCTGCTTGGTATTAACTGTTAACATCAGCACAGTGAACTCAACATGTATAGCTAATTTGAAAATGGAGCAACAATATCAAATTTAATGTCTACGGCAGGTAGCAGAAACCTTATAATCAATCCAATAATTTGCTCAGCCTCCTCTCAGCTGGCTTACTTACTGGACCACATTGTCAAATCTCGAAGGTGGCATTGCCATCTCATTAACAGGAGACAGACATTTGGAGCCTCCTGTGATTGGTAGGGCTCCTCCGTGGAATGAAACAGCTGCCAACATGAGCTGGTCTCCCCAGGCATAAGTGTATGAGAAGGTGTTGGATGAGAGGCGGGACCAGCCAGGGAGCACTTGGAAGACGGGTTTCCTGTGTGGAGCTATGCAGAGGGTCTGCCTCTACATCCACCTCATAGGTTAGGCAGAACCTGGACCCTCAACCAAGCAAGACTCAGCCGCCAAGAGACAGCAAAGCTCCCAGCATGTGGCTCTCACAGACAAGTCCCTTACTCAAAGACCTCAGTGTCCTCTCCTTCTGTCTGTTCTCTGAAGAGTCATGGCAGATGTTATGTTGGCACCTCAATACTAAGACTGTGTCTGGATGGCGTGGGGGTCCTTTAAGAGCCCTCAGGTGCTCCTCAGAAGAAGAAATTATTACTAACTGGTACAGGAAGCCCCAGATCAACATGCTGAGTTTCATATATTAAGAGGAGACATTGATGGCCTCACTTTTGGTGACGAGTTTCAGGGTAAAGTTGTGGTCCAAACAACCAGGCACTCCTCAGAATTCCTAAGGCATCAGGTGACCGGAGATGCAGGATCTTACTGTCACCTGCAGCAAGTCTACTTCTGAGCAGCTGAAAACCCTGCCAGATCTATGTAAAACAGGGATTCCAAAAAAGCATGACTTATTCTTGACTAATTTAAGAAGGTGGAACTAGAGAAAGCTCAGTCCATACTCAGTCACTTTGGATCTCCTATTTGCTTAGGTAGGCAGCCTGGGGGTGGGATGCAGTGAGGGCAGAGAGAGGAGAGATACTCTCCTACCTAAAGAAGGACAGTGAAACCAAGCCTCACCCCACCCCACCTGGCATCCCCACAGTGTGAGAAATAAACACACATTCTCATTCCTTCTGACACTTTGAGAGGTGCTATCTTTCTGGACTCCCTCTGGTAGGTCTCGGATTCCCTGCTCTTTCCTCTCCACAGGGGCTGTCTGGCACAGGAAGTATGAGGCTGGAGCTGGTGAAATGAGGGCTGGGAAAGTCCTGTGGGTTTCTGGTCCACAGCGTTACCACTCACCTCTACCCTGCTGAGGAAAACCGTCTGAGTGTGTCTCTTCCATTGTCACCTGCTTATCGCTCACACAGAGGTAATGAATAGGCTCCAGATTTCCTATCTACAGTTCTCTGTATTTGAAAATGAGCAATTGGGCCCTGGAAACAGTGTGGTGGATTAAGGTGCAGCAGCCACTGTACAAAGAATAAAAATTAATTTCCAGCCAAACCTGCCTTGCTCGAAGCAAGGTCCTTGGACACTGCAGTGTCTCAAACAATACACGCTGCTGACAAAATTTTCCAGTGTCAAAGTGAATAAATTCCAGAATCAAGCCTTCTCTTCTATTTGAACACATTTCCCTCAAATATTAATGGAGATGGCAGGTTTACACAGCTTTAATTTTTTGTTAGAGCACTTCATTTATTCTTCTAGCAAATATCATCTCTCGTGTATGCTTAATTTTGCTCTATAACATTGAGCACCCTTTGACATATAAATTTTGCTTGGTTATTGTTCCAGGATACAACATCCTTGATGACAAAGATTTCTGTCTGGTTTTTTTTTTTATTTTTATTTTTGTTGCCTTAACTCTATTGTTTGTTTTTGTTTTGGTACCAGGCATCGAACCAGGGACCCTGCGCTTGCCACGCAGGCACTTACAACCACTGAGCTAGATCCCCGGCTATTGCCTTAACTCTAGTACTTAGAAGTCTGATGCATGTCAGGTGCCCTGTAAACGCACTAAGTGAAGGACTGAATGAAACACTAGTGAGAAGGGGCTGGGTACACTGTACTTTGCTGGATGTCAGGGTCGCAGTGATACACAAGACTGGCACTGACTCTGCCCTCCCAGTTGCTTTCTCTGATTTAAATCTCATCTGTCCTAACAGAATTCTATTAATTGTGTAAGATTTGCTGGAAGATTGACATTAGAGAACTTTAAAACACCAAATCATGGGGCTGGGGATTTAGCTCAGCGGCATAAGCGCCTGCCTTGCAAGCAGGCAGTCGTGAGTTCGATCCCCGGTACCGATAAAAACAAAAAAGACAAAAAAAATAAAATAAAACACCAAATCACTTACCTGGAGAGCAAATGTCAGCGTCCTTATATTCCTTGGACATCTACTTGCTGGTAAAACTCTTTTCTCTATCTTTTGCCACTTTTGTGCTTCAAGGTCCCAAGACTTGAGTCTGTCCATCAGAGAAAAAGCTAAACACCCTCACTTTATTTCACAAAGGAATTTTGCAAACTGCTCCCCTAAGCAGAGCTGCAAAACTCTATTTCGTAACCAAAAGCCATAGCAATAACTTTTCCTACACAAAAGAATGACTCCTGACCCTCTTTAACCTACCACCACCACATCTCCCATGGTTTTGATTTTCTTCAAGAACACAAAATCCACTGGGGGCTTTTATTATTTTTCAGCAATTCATGCATACACAAAAACATGGAGTTATGAGTGATAACAGTATACAGCAGTGTGCACTGAATATGAAGGGATTTTCCAAAAGCATTCCCTGGAGGGTCGAGGACTCCAGGCAGCAAGCAGCCAGTGGAGCAGTGTGCTAAGCGGCATGCCATACTCAATAGCAAAAATACCAGTGGGAGAACGATGAAACTCAAGCCAAAATGCAATTGCTCTTATAAATTGAAGTGAGGTCAGATTCTCTTACCCTGTATTTAAGTAAGAAATCTAACAGTCATAAGTTTTCTTTCCACCTGTATGCATACAGTAGGATAAGGAAGTTTAAATTATCCTCTTCTGGCTTAAGGACAAAACTTCACGAGTATTTATAATTTTCAGAAAAAAGAAATGTCAGTATAAATATGTTACTAGGGCAAAGAGTTATTAGGAAAGAAAATCAATCCCATGTGTAGATTTTTGGAGACTATAATTGCTTTCATAGCATGTGACAACACATCCATCCATTCTTTCAAAAGCAAAGTACCTACTATGTGCAGGGTACTGTCCTAGAAACATTAGAATTATGATTATTGGAAGCTCGTGGAATTTATATTTTAGTGGAAATACATATAAATTTAAATAATATAATACATATAAATACATATAAAATAATATAAATACATATAAAATTAAATTTAAAAGTAAAATGCATACGAATAGCAATAGTTGCCAGAGAGAAGAAAAGAGAGAGACTGAGAGGATTAGAGACAGACAGAGGCAGAGACAGGGAGAGGGAGAGAAACCAGAGAGTGTGTTGCCAAGGGCCTGAGGATATTAAAAAATGCAATCAAGTTGTCAAGAAAGACTGCAATGACAAAGTGACATTTCAGCAAAAGGCCTGGCGGTGGACAGAGAGCCAACATTTGGAGTTAGAGTTTGCCGCATTCTTCTGTTAGAAATAACATTTTCATGAATAGCTTTAAAACACATAATAAAACCAGCTCTCCTATAGGTTGGGGGAGGTGAATAGCTTTTTCTTCTTATCTTACTGAGAGCTCCTTTACAGTAGCTCGGATTTTCATTTTTCAAGACCCATGATGGAATTTCATTAATTAACCAAAGCATGTTGGGGCTTGGGAGGGACAGCATGAAAGCAATTCAGAAAGTATCAAAACTTACAGCATAAAGAGGAAGAAGGCAGATTATGTCTACAGCCTGATGAGGTGTCCTCTCAGCCATGAAATTACTCGAAGTGCAGGACACCTTTCTCTAGGCCCATGCCTGCCCACCTGTATCAGCCTTCAGGGACAACCTGTTGCCTCATCTGTATTTGAAGATCAACATGCCCCCTGAAAACTATCCAGTAGATTATAAAGCTTAAATAAAACATGTGCTCACACTGGTGAGGTTTATGGTTTTCCTCCTCTCCAGAAAGCAGTCAGAGAACCTGAGCATGGGAGTGACTGTAGAGGACCCTGAACTACATTTACAATTGATAGCCAAGCTGCAGGAGCTGAGCCTCCATGACTCCTAGGTGTACTGGAGCCCCAAGGCCCAGGTAAGACCCCAGAGTCGATTTCCAGGTCCCTTTGTCTCCTGACCAAGTATTACTCAGAGGCAGTGAGGCAGGGAAGTCAGCCGCACAGGACAATACCAAGGACACGCAGCTGGAATGTGTCATAGCTGTCTCATCAAAGGCTTCCTCATACATAAAAGCCCCCAACCATGGTTGCCTCATGCCTGTGTCAAAATCATGAATGATTAGTAAAAGATTAATTACCTTGTTCTTCTAAAGAAGTGTAGAAGGATTTCATGCACCACATTTATAAATAAGAACAAAGAACTACAGAGGGGCCAGTGTAACTGACACTATCAGCTGAAATCAGAGAAGCGGCTCAGTAACAGTGGCTCTGGTCTGCAGGAAGAGTCAATTTAAAATCTCTGAGTTCACAGCTAGTCCATTTCTCAGCATCAAAACCATCGTCATTACTCTTTCTACGTAGAGGAAAGCTCCTACCACATGTATAGCGTTAAGACAGTGAGACATAGTCACCAGCCAGCTCAGCTTCTTCAGTTAGACAAAGAAAGTGAGGGATGAAGATATTAGATGACTTAACTGTGGTGTCAACTTGAATAAGAAACACCAAGTGGATTGGGCGAGCACAGTTCTGGGCGTGTCTGGATGAGGAATTTACTACAGAAGAAAGACCCACTCTGGTAGTGGGGAGTACCAACCAGGCTTGTAGCCTGGATGGAACAAAAAGGGAAAGAGGAAGAAAATCTTCCCTTTTGCTTCTTGGGAGGAACTCCAGACTTCACCCAAGCCTTTGAATGTTCATTCAGCCTTCCAGTGCAAGACACTCAGCCTTCCAGTGCAGACCCTCAGCCTTCCACTGCATACCCCTCAGGCTTCCACTGCAGACTCCTCAGCCTTCCAATGCAGACCCTTCAGCCTTCCAAGATACACTCCCACTGGACTCTGTAGTGAGTTCTACACCTTCAAATTTTCAATGGATGCTCTGGCTCTCCAGCAAGCAGATAGCAGTGTGTGTGTATGAGTGTGTGTTCATGTGTGCATGTGTGTGTTCTCTTCCACAAGTGAACTTTAATAATATACTTTCCCACCATCACACAATCAGCTAGTGCAAAGTGAAAAGAACACAAAATCACCAGAGTCCCACTACACACTGATTCCTAGTTGCCCACAGAAAAGTTCCTATTACTTGTATTTTTCCAGGCCACATTTCTGCTAAGCAACTCTGCCCTCCACTCAACTGGAAAATCTTTCTCCTCCCAGACAAGCTGAGCCCCCAACTAGTGGCCTTCTTGGTTTGGAGATGAAAAGTTTTTTCTGTGTTTTGGAGTACAAAGCCCTCAAATAACTCCAGAGGGCTTATCTACAGTTCATTTTATGATTTCTACCTCTTTCTAGAAACTCCTTGAAATCTCAAACCCTGCTCTGGGTTCTTTTGTATTCCTCTGGGTACTTGGCATCACACTAAGCACACAGCAGGTGCTCAGCACATCTTTCCTGGGAAAAGAAGAAAAACTGTTCTCCTCTCTCATCTCAGCTGTATAACCCTGCTCACCAGGGGCCCTGCTTATCACTGCTTATCACTGCAGGGCCTCTGACTGCTCTGGTCTCCATCTATTTCCTCAGAAAGGGACAGATTGAGACCAGAGCCTGCCATCAGCTCTCCCTCTTTCCATTCAGAAACAAAATCTCCCTCCTGTCTTCTTTGAAATAAGGCTAAACCAACAATATTACAATGTTGTGAAGAAAAAGAAAGCCAGTGAGGTGCTGTAAAATTATAAAGTTGATAATTTTATTATAGTCAGCACTGGTCAGCCCCTTCAACAGGACCACAGTCCTGTTCTGTTTCTGAGTTCCCCTGCAAGAGTCACAGAGAAATTAGACATTGTTTGATTGCTACTAGTGAAGTGTTATTACAGCAGGAAAGACCCCTACTCACCTGTACCTTGTGTTTAAAAGTTATATCTACCCTGTGAGACACAGGGCCCATCTCCTCACCTCCTCAGCTCATTTGTAAGGTGACAAAGCTGGATCTGATGTGGCCTGAGGTCCTTTCCTGTTCTCATTTTCTGTAACTCCTATGAGCTGTCCTTCCCAATTCCTGAGTTGTGCAAAAGAGAAAACTTTCTGAAATTTCAAACAAAAGATGCTAAACATGAAAATCATTAGCAACTGAAGATTTATTGCTCGTAATGTTGACTGATGGACTTTCTTATATGCAAGTCCCTTTTATATCAGCTAACATGATATAATCTATTTAGTTTCCCACAGTGACTTACTGCTTTTATTATTGATATTTACTGATCAAGAAACCAAAACATGAGGTTAAGGCATTGTCCGAGGTCCTATGGCTTGTTAAGTGGCTGAGCTGAGACACAAGTGCAGGTAGCCTACCTCCACAGCTGCTGTACCATATGACTCAAGAGTCTTCTTTTCCTGGAGCATATTAATTCTGGTTTTCAAATCACGTCTGTGAGCAAAGAACGGGCCCAATACCCTCCCAGAGTCCTCACGGACTACAGTATACAGTAGACTCTATCAAAGAAAGATGTGCACAGAGGGTGGTACCATCTCCATGATGTTGCCATCACATTTACAATCTGAGAAGACAGTATCCTCTGAGTTCGTCTGTGACATTTTCCCACCCTCAGTCCCTAGCATGTGGTATCTGCCTATGTGGCCCTCTTTATATGGCAATGCTGGGGTCATCATTTTGAGGTGATGTGATGCCTGTCTTTTATGATTTTTATCGTTTCCTCTTTCCCAGAGACTCAACATTTGGGAGGACTTGTGAAATGTTGAGGAATTCCTGATGTTCACCTGCATCCCTGAATTTAACTTTGGGCTCGTCTGTATGAACTGGTATCTCCAAGAAAGATAGCATGGTTGTTTCCTAGCTTTGTCCTTTGAAAGCTATTAAGCATTAACTCATTTTCCATGGAGGAAGATTTGTGATCATCAGAAATGATGTCAATAATCACTTATATTTACAAACCAACAGATTGAAATAGAATTCAATTGAGTATTACTTTATTTTTACCTCTGGGAGCTGAAAAGAACTGAAATCTCACTGGTAGGCAGAGCAGGAGAATCTGCACACAGGAAAGTGGTCTTTCTCAGACTGGGTCCCCCCTCCACATCTACACCTCCACCTCAATCATCCTCCAACTATTCTCATTTACCTATGAAACACTGCTTTTCCACTTTACTCCTTTGAATTTTCCTGGTCTTTTTCCTTCCCACTTACTTATTCAGAGTCAGTTAAGCCAAAAAGTGAAGAAACGTATTTTAGGGGCTCCAAGTAATCAATTTTGAGTGATGCTTCCAAAAATCCTATTTACTGAGGGATTGTCCTGAATGATTACTGGATAGTCAGACAATTTAACCTTCACTTGCTTCAGATGAGGCTAGTTGTCCATGATCATTTTTTCCCTTTGACTTTGGGCCTTAGAAGAAATAAACAAAAAAAGGCAACATGTGTCATCATGCCAGGGTGAAAGATGGGAGCAGACTTGAGGTCTGAGTTCCAAGTAAGCACCTGTTGTAATCTTTGCCACAGTTGCTAATTCATGAAAATTCTGTTTTCAGCAAAGTTCTCATAATTTTTCTCTCTTCAATAAGTAGTAACAAAGTGCAGATAGGTAAAAATATAGATATGTTGAACTTAAAAACAAGACTGTAAATTGTCTATAACTTTGGCAGTCAATCCATCATGAATGCATTTAGAACTTTGGACTATAAGCTGCAAGTATCTTTTAAAATTCTTTTAGTAGTAAAAAGAATCAGGCAAAAATCAGACAATTTCTTGCTTTTTAATTCTAGAATTTAAAGAAGGTTGTTTAACTTCTCTGTTCTATTCTATTCTATTCTAATTCCTCCTACTTAAAACAGGGAAAATAATTCTGCAGGGTTATTATGATGTTTAAATTAAATAACAGCCAGCCAGCATCTGCACACCCGGGTGGTGAGCACCCTGAACGTGCTTGATAACATGAATATGCCATTCCTCTCAACACTTCATAGTAAAAAGTAGACTATTCACCCAGAAATGATTCATCCAGAAGAGACATTACTGAAAAATGAGAAGGAAAGGGTCATTCCCAGTGACCATGAATGTTTTCCCAAACCAAAATGTTCAAATGTACTACCAGTATTTTTTTTCGTAAAGATTCCTCTACAGGAGAGTTTTTCTTCCATAACCTCTTGAATGCTTTACCTATACTGATAGCGTAAGCAACACCATCCCTGTGCCATGTTTCTATTCCATAAGTTGCCATGCCCTCGTTGTTCTGTCTGCACCAGATTAAAGTGTCTCGGCTCTACCAGAAATAACAAGGACAGTGAACTTTTCATGCCAAATTTCTTTTCTAGTAAACATGGTCCGAGGTCTAGAACAAGAACTGGACAAGGCTAGGGGGTTCAATTTTCAAAAACTCTGACCTTATCCAGCTTTAGAAATGCTCTCCCAAAAGTCCTCCCCAATTTTAGGATACATCTAATTACTGTACCCTCTAGGAATATAGGCACCTTTTCCTGATCTTAGAAAGAAAGCTATAATGCTAATTACTAACCTGTGCAGCATGACATTGGTCATCTTCCCGTTGTCCATGTAGTCTACTGGAGTTAGTTTTCACTGCAATACTTAACCAGGAGAGCCAAGTTTCCCTAAATGAATCCCAAGGATGAATATACTCATTCCAGTCCTCTGGCTTCTTTCATTAAAGAATTATAGGGACCTGGTCCAGAGGAAGTGGAGAAAAAAAGCCAGGGAATCAGAGCCACTGTCTGGCCAGGAACACAAGCTCTGATGAAAGTTGATGATGGAGGTGTCTATGCCAAGTCACAAACTGGAAAGAAGCTATCTGAAATCTAAGGAAACTCCAGCTGCCAAGAGCCAGCAGCCTGTTGAAAAAGTAAATCATTCAGGAGACAGAACTCTTAACTTTCTATGGGACTTTGGATAAATCAGTTAACTTATTTGTGTTGCGTCTCCTATTCCTATGTACAGTAGAAGAGTTTATATAATATTAGATTATTATTAGATAATCCCTAAATTTCTTCCAGTATTAAGAAGTTATATAAATTTCTGCCCAGAAAGAGAAGGATGGGGGGGGGATCAAATTTGACAGATTCCCAAGATTTAGGAAACATAGCTCTCTGTGACCCAAAAGGGATAAAATCAAAAAAGAACCAAGTGAAATACACTCATGATTAATCAAAGGGGATTGAAAGTCATTGTAAACCTCATAGCCACCTTGCACCACCCCCAGCTCATCGCCCTTGGGACACTCCTCCCTTTCTTTAATGCCTCGTTGTGATTCTCCAAAACTGTGATCACTCAAGGTTGAAGCTTTTAATCTCCCATGTATAAAAGGATATGCAAATAGAGTTCAGTTTCCTGTTGAGTCTCTGCCAAGGTCTTAGCCTGGCAGTTCTGGGAAAGGAGCCAAGACCTCATATTTCTTGGCTGTTAACGTTCTCCCATCTGTGCTCAAGTCAGCAACCTGGACTTCAGGCTGTGGCTTATCTTCAGTCTTATACTCTTCCGAAGGAAACCCGTCAGAGTACTCCAGGAAGAAAGGAAGATACAGCTAACTCCCAAATAACCAAACAGAGCATTATCTTATTATATTTGGGGCAGACAGAAAAAACAACTAGGAAATGTATATTCTTATATAAGAGCTTCAGAATCTGCTTGTAAGCTTCCTGAGGTACTGATATGAATTAGGTCTTCCACAGGGCTTGCAATTAGTCATCCTCGTCTCCAGGATGGGGTTTCTCTCCTACATGGGATGAAAAAGGTAAGGTCTTCAGAGCAGTATTAGTCCAATACAGCATTCAAAAACAAAAGGCTTGAAAACATGGACATCTCTGAGTGTTTCTGAGTAGAGTCTTCTGTTGAACAACAGAATCAGGGGCCAAAAGGTTCCCTGCATCTTCCTGGCTGAACTCACACAAAACAGCAGCTGCCATTTTTACTCCATTCAAGGCACCCAGACCCGTGTACTGAAATGTGGTTACCAACACTCTCTGATGGAGAATCATACATTCTAAGCTGTGATAAACCTGACCATTTATTAATGGATTTTTTTTTTTTTTTTTGGTCTTTTTGGTTTTTATCGGTACCAGGGATCGAACTCACGACTGCCTGCTTGCAAGGCAGGGGCTTATGCCGCTGAGCTAAATCCCCAGCCCCATTAATGGATTTTTAATGTTTTCTGCAAGTGCCTGACTTATTTGTACTTTCCAGTATTTTCTTGCAGAAGCTGACTGCCACCAGGACTTTCCTGTACATTCTCATTTCCATGGCAAGATCAGTATATGAAATTTTTAAAAATTTTTCCACAAAACTCTATGAAGAGATCCCACACACACACCCTGGACTACATCAGTTAAAAAACAAATCTCTGTGTTATTGTTCAAACCCAGTCATTCACTTAGTGTCATCTGCAATATATTGTCTCTAATATCTCCTCTCTCTCTCTCTCTCTCTCTCTCTCTCTCTCTCTCTCTCTCTCTCTCTCTCTCTCTCCCTCTGTCTTGTCTCTCTGTCTGTCTCCTTAGGCCTCACTTTTTAGCAGTCATGCTTTCTTTGAAATCTACTAACAGAGTATCCATACTCTACAAACTCTTCCTCCTCTCAATTTTCCCTCCTGGCCTCTCTCACCTGAGCTTTAACACCCTACAGCAGTGATCATTCCAGACTATTTACAACTCTACAGAAGGTGTTATAAAACAGGTCCCTTCCCGTTTCTGTTTTTCCCACGCTGTATGGTCTGAAAGTTAGCGCCTCCTTGCGCCCTTTGTGGGCATTTTTCTCAAAGACTTGGCCTGGAGCAGCACTTTTTGACTAAGCCTGAACTCCATTTACCCTTGGGACTGCCAAACTCACAGAGACTCAGGGGTTTTTATCTATAGCCCAGTCCAGCTACTTTATCACTGTAATTTGTCACTGGAAAAGGTTGGGTCATTGACAGATGACTCTTGCAAAGGTTCAGAACTAACTCTTAGATTCTGCAGTATATACAGATCCTATAAAGCTCTCAGGCACAGACACTTAATGCATCAGTTCTGTGGGCTGAAGGAAAGCTCCTCAGATCACACGCCCTCAATGGAAGAAAGAATAACTGTCATCTTAACAACTTCAACTTTGGATTATGTTTGTTTTCCTAATACCACAGCTGGTCCTACAATATATTTATGGCAGGCTTAGTTCACTCAAAAGTTGCCTAGAACAAGTCAACCCAGCATTATGTTAGTCTGGAGATGCAGTCGAGTAAGACTTTAGAGAAAGTCTCTCCGCTCTCCCATGTAAAGACTGCAAGGATTCTATATAAAAAGCAGGTCTCTGATCAATCTATATCCCTATTTGAATATATTTCTTACAGTTCCCATACGCTGTTTTTGCATATACAGAATTTAGAATGAAAACTGAGATTCTACTCACTTACACAAATTAATTCAACTACCAGTGCTGATTGACTAGGTAGAGGAAGAACCATTTTTGCACAGCATTGACTAACCTTTGAGAAAAACAAGAGAGAAAATTTTTTCCTACCACAACTTTCTCTTGGATGGATTGCTTGCCAGCGAAAGGTCAAGATGGCTCTGCCATGGCCTTTTGGCTTCCACACCCCAAGTCATCTTGTCTGTGTCACATCTGGAGGAAGAATCTCCTTGTTCAACAGTATATACACCATCACACTGATACCATTAGCCAGACCAGATTGTAGAGCTTGTTTAATAACCCTGGAAAAGCTTGCATCCTAAGAGAAAAGTTGGGAGGGGCAGGACAAATGAGTCCTGAATGCTGAGAATCTGGTCATGTGCTTTAGGAACTTGGTCCTCCCGTCTGCTGCCTGATCCAACAGATTACCGCTTCCTTAGGAGGCACCAGAACCCCAAATGTCCACATCCTGTGGCACCCTGTACCCCTAACATCCAACATTTGAGTTCCTTTCCAGTTCAGAGAACAAAAGCTGCTGGCTTTGGTCCAATTCACAACAGATGTTGGCCACAACCGCCACGTACCCGGAAAGCATCCACCAGAGCTAGGCATGAGAATCATCTTGTTGGCAGTTCCCACATATGTGATCCCTTCAGTCATTTAACACCTGCTCAAAGATTGGAGAGGAACTAGGAGACTTTCTCCAGAGAACCTCCTGGTATTTAATTAAGTCTCTTGGGAATCAAGATCTTGCACTGATGGAATTCAAAACCAGGAGAAAGACTCATTCCTCTCTGCATATAGGACAGTGAGAATGGGGATTTTGATGATCAGATTATCATTGCTAATTTGTACCAGGGCTAACAAGGATGTCCGAGTACTGCAATGGTCCGTACCCTGGCTATCCCCCTAAGTCTGTAGATTTTTTCTAAACTATTTTTCCCAAGAAAGCTATCTTTGTTGTGTACTACCTATTTAATAAAGCCAAAAAATAAGAGGAACAAAGTGCGAGGAGTAGAACAAAGACATTATTAGTACCCCAGGAAATACTGTTGTGAGCCCTCAGTATTGATACTAACCTGATCTCCTCAAAGAATGTGAAGGTCGATATTACAATGTGTGTTTTCCTAAAGACTCTGAAAGAATATGTGAAAATTCAAGGAGTGTCGCTTTAATTTTTTAAAAGGCTGCTTAGCTGTGGCTGGAATGATCCAAAATTTTGCCAGTGACTAAGGCAGGCCACTGAACGCCATCCCTCTGCCAGCTGTAAAGTAGGTTGTCTGTGGCTCCCCATTCTCCTCTTTCTGTGCCTTTTTCTTGGACCCTTCTCTTTATTGCACCTCCCATATGCTTTCATTCTATTCCCGTCCAAATCCAATCTCAATGATTACCTGAATCCAATTTTCACTAACATTTGAGTGATGGAAATAAGAGAAGGCAGTAGTTTTTCTAAGATTGGAGCAGAGGTAACATTTTATTTCAAAAGAGATAATAGCCGTAAGCTAAGGACTGAAGGACTGTGGCAGAATTTTCAAAGCTTAAGAAACAGTGCTCAGAATGAAAGGAAGAAGGCTGCCTTCTCTTTGGAGCTCTGTGAACCATGCCTGGGAAGTCTAGAGCTCCCAGAGTGAGCACTTCTGTTTCCATATCCACGGGCAGGTCTGTCTGGAGCACCAGTCAACAGGCTCTGACCGATCTTAGAGAAAAGCATTGCAACAGGGGGCAGCCTGGGGGTCAAATGGCAGGAGAGATACCTGCAGACAGCCTGCACTTTAACAGCGGGAATGGCTCTGCCATAGATCAGCAGTGAAACAAGCGCCAGTGTCTGCAGGAGAGTTCAGCGATGACTCCTGAGAGGTTGCCTGTGCTGGCTGGGAGCTGAACTCAGTGACCTGAGCTCTTTTGTTCATTACAGAATTCTATGTTGAAAGAAAATTAGACCTGCTACCAGAGCAACCACACTTACTATTTTGGTATATTTCTTCTAAGTTTTCCTAGTCCATGTACCAATTATTACAGTCTATCAATATCATCATATTCTATATATTAATTTGTATCCCTTTTAACAATATGTAATCAATTTTCTATGTTAGTAGGTATTTTCTAATCTGTACTTTAATAGGTTACATTAGTGCTGTATCTTGGGACATACTAGCGTGGACTCAATTTTCTTATGGAAAAGCATTTAGGTAGCTCCTACATTTTTCCCAATATAAAAATTTGCCATGATGAACATATCTGTGTTTATCTTTTTCACTGTTTAAAAGTATCACATAAGAATATAAAGTATATAATTTTATCTACATATGTAAAATATTATACAGTATACATTATACAGACATTTAATAAATTGTCTATAAAATAAAGAAAACCCCCTTTTTTTTCAATAAGAAGTATTGTCAACTTCATAGTAAAGGTTTTGGCCAATTTTAAAATATAAGCCCTAACAGTCATGGATGAAATTATCAACTTAATTTTAAATTTTTAATGCATTAATTTCATTACATGTACATATTAATTAAATAATATATTCATTTTAATTACTGGTCTATTCCATTCTCATAATTCATAAAATAACTTTATTCAGATTCTTCACAAGGGCCTAAAATCAATGTCTCACTACTAGATCCATGTTTTTAATCTGCATTTTTCCGAGTATATCAAATTCATGTTTAGGTTGTTTAAAATACAGTATGTTGTTAATCCAGATATGAACTGATCATGATATCTACTTTTCAGCCACAATATCTTAGCCATATTGCTAAGAACATTCACACTTTTGTTTTGACATTTAGCCTATATATTATCCTACAGATTCTTGATCTCCAGAATAGAACATTTGCTTTACAGTATTTATTTAAATAATACTAAACACTTGCAATTTTGAAGGCTTTGGGAGATCCAAGAAGAGTCATCTTTTTTTACTAACTCCATCAGCCAGTTCTCATGAGTGTCCGTGCACCAGCCTTGATTGAGCTAGTTAAAGTTAATACATCTTCACTCAATTGTGCTTCGCTGTTCAAAATAAGATAATTGAGCACAAGCATCGCAATGCTGCTTTTTGTGTAAGGAATCTAAGAGTCTCCCTCTTCTGTGAGGGTAAAAAATCTCATTTTACACTCAAACATGCTCAATATTCTTCCACATCAAATTCTCTGAAGTAAAATATTTGCACAAACACTAAGGATATTTTCATTCTTTTTAACTGCTTGACTTCCAGAAAAAATAGTAATTTATGTTGCCATCAACATCTTGCCAGCATTGGTTGCATCACTTTTTTAAGTAAAAGCATCTACTTAAATATCTGTCCTCCCCAAAATGGATTGCTAATATTTTACTTAGATTTTTATTATTAGAGGGTTAAAATATTTTTCCAAGTTTCTTAATCAATTATTAACTGGTGTCCATTGCCCATTTATTTTTTAGGTTTTCAGTGTTTTTACTCACTGATTTGTGTAATTATAATAACTTTGTGCCTCTGAATTTTATAGCACTTAACCACAATAACAGCACAAGTGAAAGGGGATTTGCAAGGTATTGTGGATGGTGGAGGGTGGGGAGGGCAGGGTGCCAAGAACAGGAAAAAGGAAGAGGAAGGTTTTTGTACTGATGTTTTTCACTGTGTCAGCGTACCACAGAGGTGGAAGTGTATTAAGGCTCTGTTCAAAAACACCCAGCTGTGATCCAGTTTGTCAGTCTTGGCACTGAGCAGAGTCCACTGAATATATGAGGAGATAATATGAGTGCCTTCACTCCAACTCCTTTCTTTTGGTGCTAACCTCTTTCCATCTACTGCAATAGTTTCAGAGTGTGAACACGTTTCACCAAAGCTTCCAGTGATAAGTATTTCACAACCACCTATGTCAATTCTTATTCTTTATATCCATTACACTATAAAGCAGAATTATCAGGGACAACTAAAGGGATAGGACAAACAGTGATTAGTACCTGTATACCTGCCACACACCAGCATATGATGAACCAATAAATTGAATCCAATCTAGGTAATTTATATATTTCTTTCTCTTGAAGAGCTTAATGCCTAGCACAAAACAAACCAAATACTCAAAAAAGAAGTCACGAAATGAATTCCACTGTACTCTGTATGTTGTGCTTGCAGAGTTCCAACTAAAAATAATGTATTTCTAGAAGCCATCAGCAGAAGCAGGTGCACAGGGGAATTTCCAGTACTACTGAAGCCCTAAATCCTAACAGCTCATGTTCCATGTTCTGATGCAAAAACTGGGGTAGCCATTACTGACTTCCTTTTATCTTGTTTTGAAGTCCTGTACCATGTTCATTGTTTTGTTTTGATTGACTCTATTCTGTTTTATTTTGTTTGGTTTAGTTCTCTTCAAAATTAAAAAACACTGCCAAATGAAGGGGGTGGCAAGAAGGCTGCTAGTGGGCAGTACGGAATAGATGGCCCTGTGATGAGAGAGAAAATGCAGATTCTTCATAAGCAAAACCTGAGCTACTGGAAGGCCACAAACAAGTAAACGGGTGATGGGAGGGAAATTGTTGGCTGGATGGAATCAGCAGAAGACTTGAGAGAAGATGAACCCATTGCTGGTCAGATGAAAAACACCTAGCACGACTGGGAGTAGAATTTCAGAGTCAAGGAATCGCCTGGTCTGACTACCACCACCAAGCAATTCCCTCATTCCAAAGCACAGGCACGGCTTACCTCCTTCTTGAGTTTGGGTTTTTGAAAGATATTTCCTGGGAATGAAGAAATATTTCTGCTCACTTCAGGAGATCAATCAGTGCTAATATGATAGATCTGAGAGCTTGCAAGGCCATGACTCTCCTTGACTCTTCTCTTAACCCTGCATGAGTTCAACCAAAGGTCACAGAAATTAATCTCTTCATCAGGGGATCACGATAGCCAATTAGTACACCAAATCCAATTGCTTTTATTCAGCAATGCACAAGGAAAGAAAATTACGCTCACTCTTCCTTCCTAGGCTGTTCAAAACAACTAGGTGTGTGTCTTCAAAGAAAAAATACACCAACTCGATCAAAATACCATCAAATGCTTACCATTCATTGAAAGTAAACAACTCACAAAGATAATTATTTTTAATGAAATTCTCATTTTTAGTGAAAAAATGGAATATAACAGCCATAGATTACTTATTTAATAAAAATGAAGATAGTTTTGTATATTAATTTTAACATATACGATCATATATTTCTATACAGCAGGCAGTAGATATTTACAGTTACAGAAAGAAGTATGACTAGCTTCCTCCTGCATCCAAAGAAACTATGCAGAGAAAGGTATTCAAGACAAAAAAGTTAAACACTTTAAAGTCTCAGAATGTACGCTAGTTCCAATGGGAATGTATAACTTTATGAAAAACATAGATCATCACCATCTCATCCTTGTGACCAGTGTTAACCTCATGAAACTATTAGTCCTTCATGACAAGAATCAATACACAAAGCACATCACTTCAAGGTATCCCTGATGAAACTAAATAAATAAATAAACAACCCAACATTAATCAAACGTTTAGTTCTAAGAAGAGACAAGGGAACTAGAAGAACAAGTTAAGAGATTCTGCAAAGCAACAACTCGACAAATGCAGGCAATGAGTGCTATGATTTGGATATGGTTTCAACATGTCCCCAGGATTCATGAATTCAGAGCTTAGTCTTCAGTGTGGCAGTGTTGGGTGATGGTGTGGAACCTTCAAGAGGTGCAGCTAGTGGGAAGTAATTAGGTTCCTGAAGGTGCTGTCTTTGGAAGGAACTGACACAGCTCTCATGGGACCCCACATGGTTCTTGCAAGAGGGTTGTAACAAAAGAAATATCCTGGTCCTTTTCTGGTCTCTCCCAACTTTCTGTCGTGCCACATCAATCTCTCCCTTTCATAAATTCCTCTGCCATAATGTCATTTTCCAGGAAGCAACATACAAGGGCATGGGCCCTTGTATAACCACCATGACTTTGGACTTGTCCCTCCAAAACTGTGAACTACATTAGCCTCAGTGCTTTATAAAGTGCTCAGCTTTGCACACTTCATTTTAGCAATGGTAAATGAACTAATTCAGTGAAATACCCTAGAAGACAACAGGCCAAGTCTCTCCAATAAGAAATGTCATGGAAAAAGAAATAAAAGAAATGAAGAAGAAACAATAGAAGGGGAACCATGGAAGAAACTAAAGAAAGATGAAAGAAACTTAAAAATTTAGCCATTTAACCAAATGAAATGTACTGTCTTTAAAACAATCTTTGTTTTTTCATTTAAAAAAAGTCTTTAAATCACATTTTGGAAAGAATTGGGCAAATTTGAGTATGGATTGGCTGTTGATACTACGGGATTACTATTAACTTTGTTAGGTGAAAAATGTGGTTGTGAGTAAATAAAAATATCCTTTCTAAAAACATATATTGAAGTATGTAGAAGGGAATTATGGCATTTGAAATTGCTTGAGCAAAATAAATAGAAAATATGACAAATATTAGCAATTATTAAATCTAGGTGATCATTCTATAAGTATTAATTTGATTAATCTCATTTTTGGAATATTTCAAAATGTTTGTAACAAAATGTTCATTGAATTTTTCCTTTTTAAGTAATGAACAAATCTATAGAAAATTTAAATGATAACAAAGTGAAATACATTGTTACTTAAAAATTCACGTACTTTCTTTAAAAATACTGCTCTCCTCCAAAACTCCCTTATCTGTAGGAGTTAGCCAAAATTAAAAGTGTATATTCAGATGATATATGTCTGACACAACAGTCACTGACTATACAGGTGAAATAAACTAAGAAAACCATTAACCCAATGTTGCATATTTTGGACTTCTGGGAGAACATGGTGGATAAATAGCAGCAGCTATAGAGGCTCTCTGAGATACCCCGCCTAGAGTCCAGGAATGGTGCAATGCGAGGAGTCCTAAGCAGGGGGAGATGTGCCCTGCTGACCCAGGAACGAACTAAGCTAAGAGAAACCAACTGGAAACACAGTCCCGGTGCTATAACAGGAACAGATAAGGTCTCAGCGCAGAAGCTGGAGCCCACACCGCTGGAAGCCGTGATTTGAATTTCCTGCTGCCGCTGCTGCGTCTGAATCAGCACAGCAGGGAAAGAGACACACGAAAACTCTGCGAGTCGGAACCAGTGAACAGAGTTGAGAGCGGGACTGGCAGGGAGCCCTACATCGACCTGTGGTGAGTAAGTGAAATGGGGACCCTTCCATAGAGTAGGAGGCTTCAGCAAAGGACATACTGGGACCAGGCAGACTTGCCGGAACAGGATGCTGCAGTGACTTTAGTAGCATATTCCACTCTCAAGCAGGATTGGTGGGGAGTGCCTGGCCTGGATGATGCCGCTGACTAAGACCCAGTAAGCTAGCCCAAACCAGGTCCCTGCGCCTGGTGGTGCACCCTAGCAGTGAAGCCTTCAGTAGGTTGACCTGGAGAGGCGGGCCCAGCAGAGGCTGCCCAGGTCTGTGTCTCCCTGGTACACTGCAGTAGGCGGGAACAATTCAAACAATTCTAGCCGGCACAATTCAAACAAACTGTAACAGACAAAGAGAAAAAAACTGGGCCTCCTATACTCACTTGTATGGAAGGAACAAAAAGTATGGGAAGAGGAAGCAACAAGAAATGGTCCTCAGTCCCCAATCCTGAGAACACTGATCCAGGAAAGGTGAATGCAAAGGAGAATGAGGAAAGAAAACATGCAATATCAGACATGGCACCAATAGACATAAAGCTTTATCTCCAGAGCCTCATTGATGAGTTCAAAAGCAAAGTATTTAATGAAATAAAACAAGCTATAAGTAGAATAGTTAAAGAAATGCTAAGCACTGCCCAAGAAAAAACAGATGGTGGAATGGAAGAACAGAAAAAAAGGGGAGAATTATTTGATGGAGAAAATAGAGAAAACATAGAATACGTGAAGCAGGTTCAAAGAGATTACCAGGAAACTAAAAACTCTATCGAAAGCTGGCATAACAGCTTGAAAGAAACTAAGGATAGATTATCTGAACTGGAAGGCAGATTTGTAATGTGGGAGCATGAAATGAAAAACTTCTTTAAAATAATAAGAAAACAAACAGCAATAATACAAGACTAGAAGATGATAGGATCTATAACTAAAGAAGAAGCAGGGACACAAACAAATGGACTACAAAAGCTATTCACAGAAATAATCCAAGAGAATTTCTGTAATTTAGCAAAAGGTAAAGACACTCAGATGTATGAGTCATACAGGACCCCAGCCACCTACAACCCAAACAGAGCTACATCCAGGCATATAATAATCAAAATTCCAGAAATCCAATATAAGAACAGAATATTAAAAGCCATCAGAGACAAGAAACAGATCACTTACAAGGGAACACCCATCAGAATTACAGCAGACTTCTCGGCACAAACCATCAAATCACAAAGAGCGTGGGGGGAAATAATTCAAGCTTTGAAAGATAATAACCTCCAGCCAAGATTGATATATCCTACACAACTGTCCCTAGAAATTGATGGAAAAACAAGGTGCTTCCAGGATAAAGAGGAACTAGGGGAATTTGCAACCACTAATTCAACTCTACAGAGAATACTGCAGGATAGTCTAAAAAAGAAAAATACCAAGATCCCAGAAACAGTGGCAGAGAGGCCACAATGAATGGAGCAGAAAGTGAAATGATGAAGACAAACTGACAACAAACAACAGAAAAAGATCTCAACAGAAATGAGGCAGAGAAGATTGGATGGTACGAACAGCTATTTTGGAGAAAACAAGACATCGTAATAGCTAGTGCTGATTTAGTATCATCTTGTTTTGAAGTCCCATCAAACTTGTATTCTTCTGTCTCCATTGGTCTTAAAAAGTTGTATCTTCTTGGATTTTATTATATGTGATAATATAAGCAAAAACTTTTATAGACAAGGAGATTATACAAAAGCTATGTTCATTTTCTGATAGTTGGTTCCAAATACCCTGTAATACTGTCATTCTCTTGAATGGTTTTACATTGTCTTGATATGTTTGGTGCTACAGTATATGAAGTTATACTCAAAGATTTCAAGGAAAGAGACACTATGATAACTACTTTTATGTCAGGATATCTTGTGGTAAAACACTATTTTGCTTAAATTGTTGTGCTCTGACCTGAGCTGTTTTGTTGTTATGCCTTCTTTTATCTCAATCTCCTTTTTTAAATTATTTACTTTTTTATTTTATCTTTTTAATTAAGGGAAAAATAAAAATAGCAGGATACATTATAGTAACCCACTTTGATTTCCTATTAACTTGATTTGAAACCCTGTATTGCCCTCACCATCTTGTTTTGACTGATTTTCCCCTACTCCACTTTGCTTGATAATACCAAGTTCAAAAGTATAGGCAACAACTGTGAAGAGAATAAGATTCATTATGACGCCCATTCTGGTTGACTATTATCTTCTTTTAAAGTCCTGTAATATCTCCAATGTTTTGGTTTTATTCTTTACTGTTTTGTTCAATTTTATTATAACTGATGATATAGGCAATTCTTTTTTAAGATAGCTAGAGGCAGTATGGTAGCCATTGTTGATCACCTGGTATTTTGTTTTTATATTATCTATTATGTCCATCCTTTTGATTTGACTGACTCTGTTCTGTTATGTCACATTTGGTTTACTCTCTTCAAAAAAAAGTAATAAGAACTGTGGGAGTAATAAAACCCAAAATGTGTAATTGTCATTGTAAAAAGAGAGGAAAAGAAAGTGCTCTAAAGCATATAACTGCATATATATTTAAGTGTATAAGATAGATAACCATATTACTGAGTTTTGTTGGATCACTGAACAAAACTGTTTTCAGTCTCACTG